AGTGAATGTTTTCTAACTAATCTGGTCTGTTTCTTATCAGTACGTGCACTTAACTTATTTTCAAATAAATACTGAAATTTCTATTTAGCAAAGCCTGCTTCCTTTTTCTTCCCTTCTGCTTTTGTTTTTAAAGCAGGTCTTGCTATCAAGTACTGATCGTCCTTATACTGTTGTGTAACCCATCTGGGCTTGAACTCATGGTAATTCTCCTGCCTCAGTCTCTACATGTTGGAATTACAAGCATGCACAGCCATATCTGGCTATCTCTTTTCTTATTAACTTTTTTTCCCTTCTCCATTTTTTTTCTGAATATTGCTGTTTTGACCAGAGTATTTTGGTAGAGTTGTTATGTTTTTATTTAAAAAAAAGGAAAAGAGAAAGCTTTAAGATAAGACATGTTGACTAGTTTATTATATGGCCTGGCAGAGTAGGGAGACTAAGAGAGAAGAGGAACAGGGGTAATGGCTGACCGCCATAGCCGGTCACCATAGAGAGGCAGAGAGAGCGAGCGTGTAGGTGAGAGAGTGAGTAGAGAGGAAGCAGAGAGAGAAGTTGGAGCTTTTAAAGGGAAGACTGCGCATGCCCACTGAAGTTCCACGCATGTCCAGAGTCATCATGGGTGACGTGGCGATGATGATGTAGCACGTTTTCTTGCACATGCCCTGAGTATTGTCAGGGGGCGGGGTCTGTCTCTTAAAGAGGTAAAGCCGATCAGTGTCAAAGCCTGAACCTTTCAATAGTGACCTGAAAAATTCTCCTATTGTAAATTGTGTTCTAAACTTACTTAAGAACATAGGTTATTTCTTTTTTTTTTTTTTTTTTTTTTTTTTTTTTTTTTGCTTTGATTTTTGAGGCAGAGTTTCTTTGTGTAACAACCCTGGCTTTCCTAGAACTCACTCTGAAGACCAGGCTGGCCTTGGACTCACAGAGATCCACCTACTTCTGCTTCCCAAGTGCAGGGATCAAAGGTATGTGCCACCTTGCCTGGCACATAGATTATTTCTGATGGAGGATTTTTAAACAAAGTGAAATGTATTATAAGTTTCTTAAAGTACTAATTGCATATTAATACAGAATATTGTTTTGTTTTCCTGTAGGAAATAGTGCATTTTGTGTTTCAGAGGAGATAATACTGTGAGCTGAGTCACCTCTGAGTGGGACTGGTAGAATTTGATAGTAAAAGGTGCTTATGGGGAGGGAGAGACAAAGTGCAAAGGTAAAGCACAGATGTGGGGAGCTGGGGTCTTCTATAGACTGAGTGGGAAGAGGAGCTGGAACAAGGAGTGGGGAATCTATTCCATTTGGTAGAAATTGTGTTAATCTGCACCCCACCACCTCAGAGTTTTAGCATCGTAGTCATCAGAATAAATGCTGAAACACTAAGCTATAGTGTAGCCTAGGACAAGTAATGTTGTGGGTTGAAAACATTGAGAATTCTTGGGGCTTTCTAATGATAAGCAACACCAAATATTACAGGAGTTCTGTTTGTAAGTGAACTTTTTTTTTGTTTTGTTTTGTTTTAGAGACAGGGTTTCTCTGTATTGCTTTGGAGGCTGTCCTGGAACTCGATCTGTAGACCAGGCTGGCCTTGAATTCACAGAGATCCGCCTGCCTCTGCCTCCCGAGTGCTAGGATTAAAGGCGTGCGCCACCAATGACCGGTGAGTCATTGCTTTCTTTTTCTTTCTTTTTAAGATTTTATTATTTATTATGTATACAACATTCTGCTTTCATGTATATCTGCACACCAGAAGAGGGCACCAGATCTCATAATGGATGGTTGTGAGCCACCATGTGGTTGCTGGGAATTGAACTCAGGTCCTCTGGAAGAGCAGTCGGTGCTCTTAACCTCTGAACCATCTCTCCAGCCCCAAGTCATTGCTTTCTTATACGTATTCCTATTATACAAATTTAACACATACTGTTTCCTACTTTAGTAAATGTTTATTTCACTCAGTGAATCATTTTTGCTCATGTTAGAGAATTTGTTTTATCAATTTAATGATTTTTTTCTTTTGATATAGAACTTTTAGTGAACTTGTTTTTATGCAAAGCTACCAACTCTAACCAAAACTTGCTTTTTTTTTTCTCTTTTTTATTCTAGTTAAGAACTGTCATTTTCTTAGTGTTTGCATTTTTACTTCTAACACCATTGCTAGAGTTTGGCTCTAGTGGTGACAAGGGAGACATTTTTCATAAACTTGGGGGTGGTTTTGTTTGTTTAGGCAGTAGTTTTCAACCTTCCTAATGCTTTGACCCTTCAAGTCTGACGCCAACCATAATATTATTTTCACTGTTACTTTATAATTGTACTTTTGCTACTGTTAGACTCACAATGTAAATGTTGTTGGACATAAAGTTATGTCAAAGGGGTTGCAGCCCACATGTGGAGAACCTCTGGTTTAGAGCCTTTCACTAGCCTTTGCTGGCCGAGAACAGGCTACCGAGCCCAGACTGGCCTCAAACTCAAAGAGATCTGCCTGCCTTTCTGCTTCCCTAGTGCTGTGAGTGCCACCACACCTGATTTTTTTTTAAAGGTTTATTTTTATTTTATGTTTATGGATATTTTGCTTGAATATATGTCTGTTCACCATATTCATGCCTGGTGTCTGCAGAGGCTAGAAGAGGGTGTCAGATCCTCTTGAACTGTAGCTAATAGACAGTTGCTAGTCACCATGTGGAGACTGGGAACCAAATCCAGTCCTCTGGAAGAAAACAAATGCTCTTAACAACTGGGCCGTCTCTCCAGGACACCCCCCTTAAATGAAATTATTGGTTATGGGTTTTGAACTTTGAGTTACATAGTATTAGGTTGAATTCATGCAATTTTAGTCTTCTTATGGAGCCTTAACCTCTCTATTGCCTTAACAAAATATCTTCTGCTTAGCTCTTAAAACAGTAGTAACTATGAGTATTACATATTTAAATAGTAACATCTTAGTATTAAAGATTTGTTTTATTTTTTATCACATGGATGTGTGTATCTGTAGGGTGCGGGTATGTGCATGTGAATGTGTGATTATGGAAGCCAGAGGCATCAGATCCCCGGAGCTGGAGTTAGGAGTTACAGATGATTGTGAGCCTCCTGATTTGGGTTCTCTTAACCAAACCAGGCCTCTGTAACCATTGAGTCTTCTCTCCAGCACCTCTTTAATTCCTTCCCTTTTCCATGTGTATGGCACATGCATGCTTTTCTTTCTCAAAACAAGCAAGGTAGCATGTAATGTAAATTGGTTTCACACTCACTATGTAGCCAAGGACGAGCCTCCTGCTTACATCTCCCAGGTGCTGGGATTACAGGTATACACTACCACACCTGGCTTATAAAACCATTAATTTTAATCCAACTTTCCTGCCAGGCTTCTAAGTAATTATCAGGAATGTTTGTAGGTTTGCGAATGAGGTTGTGCTGAGGGAATAGACTGTTTGTGAACCTGAGGAAATGATGAGAAACTTACTGATATTTGGTAATTTGTATGCTGACATGAGATGATGGTCTGAGAACAATTAGCTTAGTACAATTTGGGAAGTTGAGGCTTTTTTTTTTTTTTTTTTGTAATGGCATGTGTGGAGATGAGGTTTGCTTTGTGAGAAAATATGCCACTATGTTAGCATTTCAGAGGCAATTTGTCATATAAAAATTTGCCTTATGTTATTGAACAACAGTGACAAATACATAAAAAATGATGCAGAAATACTTATGAGGAAGTTTTGATAAGCTCGATAGTTTCTCAGAAGGAGAAGCTCATAGTAGAACAAATGCCATATTAAAAATTCACTTTTGAGTGGAACATCAGTTGTATATGTGTCTGCAGACTTAAACAGGCATCCTGCTGTATTTTATTTGTGTTTACTTTTATAATTACTACTTCTGTGTATATCTGTTTCCAGTTCTCTGCATGAATTATGTGCTCCTTTTACCTATATATTCTGTGCAGCATTTATTTCTTCCATGACGGAGTTACCAGGCTCGCTTTGATCTCATGGCCCTCGTCTATTTCATCTACTGACAGAGTGGGTTGCAGGGGGCTCCGTTGCACTACTCAGTGTCTGTGGGTGTGTTGGGCACCAAGTAGGGCTCAGTCAATATTGTTAAATAAGTGAATGGCAATACTTGTCTGTGTCACTTGAATCTTCATTTATTAGGCCATTATCTTGTCTTAGCTCTTTTGTAGATGTGTATATGTGTTACACTTATACACTACCTCCATTAGAAGTGTGTTGTAAATAGATTTTTTTCTTTTTCTTTTTCTTTTTCTGGAGACAGGGCCTCGATGTGTAATAGCTTTGAACTCCATTGTTATGTAGCCCAGGCTGGTCTTGAATTCAGGATCCCCCTGCTTCAGCCTTCTGAGTGCTGGGATTAGAGGCATGTGCTACCATGCAGCAGGAATATTTTGTGTAGCTGGAGTTTCTGCCCATCAGGTCCTGCTGCCCTTCAGCCCCAAATAAGCACACAGAGACATATCAATTATTAAACTGTTGGCCTCTGGCTAGGGCTACTTACTGGCTAGCTCTGTCTTAATTATCAACCTATTTCTATTAATCTGTGTATTGCCACGAGGCTGTGGTTTACCCGTAATCTGGCATGTTACTCTGCTGGCAGCATGGTGTCTCTCTGCCCCCCCCCCCACTTCCTCTTGTATTCCCGCCTCTCTTTCCTGCCTGGCTATTGGCCAAACAGTGTTTTATTCATCAACCAATAAGAGGATTATATATACAGAAGGACATCCCTCATCAATTTTGGTTTTTCTTTTCTATATTCTCCTTTACAACAGTTTAAATTGTTAGCAATAGGTGTTTCTAAACATGCAGTAGAACCACAATGTGTTGGCAGGCTTGATCTCTTAATCAGGAGATACTAATATTACAGTCATAAGTAAAGATGTGGAAGAGATATAGAAAGTTACTGTGTACTTGTCTGTGTGGGCCTGTTTGGGAACCCATCCTTCTGTTGGTAAAAGAGCTAGGGTTCTGTGACAGATCCACCCTCAATCCATAATGGCCTGTTACTTTATTTGGGTTCTGACTGTGTCACAGGGTAAATCAGAGCTGCCCCAAATGCAGCCTCAGGTCTGCACTGTTGTGACTTTGCAGTACCTGGTGGAAGTACCAGGCTCCACTCTAGTTAGTGCTCTAGATGACACTAGGTTGTGACTGTCTTTAGGAAAGGACTGGCAGCCATGATGTGCTAGAGAGAACTGCCTAGTGACCTACATCAGAGATCTTGAGTATGTGCAGACCTCTCTCCAGGGAGCAGGCGTAGCTGTAAGAAGGCCTTCCATTGAACATGAGCAGATTATTGAGAGCAACTTCCCTGTGCTCTGTTCTTAGCATAAACAAACCACAGTACTGACTCAGGGTCTCTTCTTTGTGCTCAGATTAGAAGTCAAGAGCCTTAAATTAGTCCTGCTTTCTAATGCCTTATTGGGGTTTTTAATGAAAATGAGTCCCCTGTATTTCCCACAGCAACTGACAAAAACAGCTGGCAACTGTGAAGTCATAGTGACTTCAATTTTGAATTCTTACTTATTTATTTATTTTTAGGTTTTTCAAGATGGTTTCTCTCTGTAGCCTGTGCTGTCCTAGAACTCGATTGATAGACCAGGGTGGCCTTGAACTCACAGAGAGCCACCTGCCTCTGTCTCCTGAATGCTGACATTAAAAGTGTGCACCACCATGCCTGGCTTTCTTTTGAATTCTAACCCTTTAAATTTTAGAGTGTGGAATAGTTTTTAAAAGTCTCAAGAAACTATGGGGTACATTTTAAGTGTTTTAATTATTTATTAGATAATATGCATACAGATAAACCTGCTTAGGAATAGAAGATTTGTGTTTCATGTACAACTTTATCTGAAATGCTTGTGTTTAAAGATTCGTAGATGTGTAAATTTGACGATTTATATAAATGTTACTGGCTGAACACCCCTAATCTGAAAGTGAAATCCAAGATGTGTTCTGATACTCACAAAATTTCAGGTATTGGAATGTTTTGAACTTCAGATTCTCAGATACAGATGTTCAACCTTTATATATTCTTTTTGGAAAATTAAAATTGAGAATAATTTACAGATAAACTTATTGGCCTGTGGATACAGCTCACTGGCAGAAAGCATACCCAAGGCCCAGGGTTGAATCCATAATATCATGAAAACAAGCAAATTTGCTTTGTAGACTGATCCAATGTCTACCCAGTATTGTTTTTATCTGTTTTGTTTGCTTCTATAGATGAGAAAATGAAAGTTCTACTTAGTTGTAAGATGTAAAATCAAAAAACTTAATGCATCATGGATTTTTAACTTTATTTTTGAAGATAATTCTAATTTTTTCCAGAACTACCATTATCATGTACATGAACTTGAAACAGAAAATGATTATATGCTGAATTGTGAGATTTAAAACATCTATAGTACTTAAAAGATGCTTTATCTCTTGTTTTGTTTTTTTGTTTTTTTGTTTTGTTTTGTTTTTCTCTTTTTCAAGACAGGGCTTCTCTATGTAACAGTTTTGGCTGTCCTGGAACTCGCTCTGCAGACCAGGCTAGTCTTGAACTCACAGAGATCCGCTTGCCTCTGTCTCCCGAGTACTGGGATTAAAGGCTTGGCCACCGCCTGGCTAGATAACAGGGCTTTACTAAAGAAGTTCTCAGAGTATAATTAATGGTAGTAGAGAAGTTTATCTATTAACAAAATAACTGAGTTTATCATCTCTGTGGGCAGTAAATTTGTTCTCTAAAAATCTCTGCCTCTCATTTCCAATGACAGTAGAGTACCTTCTCTTGAGATCTTGCATTTTGTCATATCTCATTGCAGAAACTGTCTCTCTGGTATGTTTGCGCCTTGAGTTTTCCAAGCAATGATGCATTCATTACCTCTTTTTATTGTCTTAGTTCATATGTGAGAATACTGTTCCCTGGGATGCAAACCACTTCATCTCTTCATGTATCTTTTTATTCTTCTCTTTAAAGAAATGAATTTTGACTATAATATCCAAAACAGCCTACAAATTGACGGCTTGGGAACTGGATTTGGTAGATGAGTCTGTTTGGCTGTAATACCTTTTAATTAAAACACTTAGAGCATATTGACATGCTTAGGGGACAGCTTTTAAAAGTATAGAGGGAATTATAGGTTAGTTTAAACGCAAGGTCTTCTGTCTCCAGTCACCCTAGCACATGGAGAAACATTTACAGTTATTATACTTATGAATTATTTTAGAGAGGGGTAATGATGAATTTACCTTTTGTTTATTTAGTTTTTAAGAAAAGCAAATGGCTGCAAACTTCTCCTACTCCCTCTTCTCTTTTACTCTATCTGATATATAATTCTCTGCCAGTGTATTTAGAACTGTCTGTGGTAACAGCCATATAGTATTCTTTGATGTTTTCTTTCTCTTCCCATTTCCCCTTTCTTTCCCTTTTTCAGTCCTTTCTTCCTTCTGTGTCCCACTCTGCCCCTTTTTGGTTAAATAATCCAGTTTAGACAAAAGTACATTGTGAAATCTGGGCAGTCTTTACCTGTGATTTATACTGAAGAAAGAGATATATAGCAGTTGTGCTTGAGACCTGTGAGTTTTACAGAAGTAGCTTCTGCATGCAGCAGCAAATGTTTTAAGACTGTTTTCTAGTGGTAGAAGATTGGCAGGGTTGGTGTGACTCTCACAGTACCATCTCTTTTCTCAGAGGCCTCCGTTGAGGCACTGATTCCTCCAAGTGCAATATTTTCAACCTGATGGATGATGCATTGTACATATAGTCTTGTCTGTTTTGTAATCTGCCATTTCACATATGTGCCAATATACATGAAAAATACTATTCTAAAATTCCTGGTTTAAAGACTATATGTATTTGCAGACTAATAGTTACTACCCATTACAAGGGGAAGCTGATCCATACCACATCATAGGAATAAACACCTGTTTTCCATCATTTATTGTTACTGTTGTTGTTATTGTTAGTTTGAGTCAGGATCTTGGTGTTTCCCTAAGCTGATAATTGAACTTGGCTAGCTGGTGGATTAGAGACTAAGTCACAGTAGAAAAATGGGATTTTATGCTAACTAACTAATAGATGTTTACTCATTTGAGATAGGGTCTTGTTGTATAGGTCAGGCTGGTCTCAAACTTTGACTCCTCAGCCTCCTGTTTGCTGGGATGACAGGCGTGTGCCACTGTGCCAAGCTTTTGTTACTTTGACATTTTTCTTTCCCTCCCTCCCTCTCTCCCTCCCTTTTTTTAATTTAACATAATTTCTTTATTGAATCCTTGGGAATTTCACATCATGCATCCCAATTCCAATGCTCACCCCCCAGTCCCTCCATATCCTCCCTCACTCTTGCAGCACCCCCCAAAGAAAATTTAAAAAAATCAAAATGAAACAAGTAAAACAAACAAAAACCAAAACAGCAAAAAACCCCACAAAAGTTTGAACATCTTTTTTTTTTTAAAGATTTATTTATTATATATACAGTATTTTGTCTGCATGTTTGCCTGCACACAAGAAGAGGGCATCAGATTTCATTGTAGATGGTTGTGAGCCACCATGTGGTTGCTGGGAATTGAACTCAGGACCTCTGGAAGAGTAGTCAGTGTTCTTAATCTCCGAGCCATCTCTCCAGCCCTGAAGCCGTTTGCTTTCAAAGTTGTTATTGTGCATCATTTTTTAAAAGGAAGCCAACCAGAAGAATGGTAAGCCAAAAGAAAAGTTGAGAGGCCCATACAAAGAGCTTGTTTTTCCCTAGACTATAAGGGCTCGTTGCCAGCTAGCCTGATAGTTCATTGACTCCAACCAAATACCTCAGTGTTTATTATCCTGTGTAACACAGAACTTGAACATCAGAACATTAGCATGATATATTAGTACTGTCTCATTCTTGGGGCTCCATTCTCTCTTTGCCGTCTGTCTTAGTATCTGCATAATCCACTACAGTTCAGAATCATGCATTGCATTTAGTTCCTGGTCTCTTTAGTTCTTCAACCTGGAGCAGTTTTTCTGTGACTTTGGCGAATTCACTCTTTCAAAGATCACACAAAGACTGATGCAAATAGATTCTATGTTGAATTCCTCACTGTTTCCTTTGTCCTTTATAAGAATGTCTTACAAATGTCTGGCCATGACTTATAGTGGAATACCATGGCTCCATGACTCTCTCAGGTTTGCTTCCCATGCACTGCCATTTTCTATGCAATCACTAACAAGTCTGGGTTCTTTGTTTTGATGATTTAACTAGACTCATGTGTAAAGTGATAGAGCAGTAAAGCAAGTGTCGTAGGAAGACTGACAAGTTATACGTTGAACTGTAGAATCATCCAGGATCTACATGTAAGATATGACATGTGAGAAATTCAGAAATAGCCAAAGAATATAAAGGATGAAGTTGTTAATTTATGTTGTTGTTACTTTTCTTGGTTACATTGATTAGGCTTATAGTTTTTACTAACACTTTTTTTTTAAGTATGCACATTTGTCTTTCAATGAGATTGGTGGCTTAGCCGAATGAGTTGGGCTGGCGTATTCTTCTGATGAGCTTTCTTTTTATCAGCTTGAAGTGCACATCCCATTATTATTCAAATATGTCATCTTAGAGTATATATATTTAAAGCATTTTAGGGTCTTCGAGGTGTGAACAAATATTGTGGGTGTTCAGTGCTTTTTCTGCTGTTTATCCAAATTTGATGGCTTGTTTCAATATACTGTTGAATTGTCAGTCTTTCAATTATTTTAATAAGGAAAATGTCCTTTTAATTGAAATTAAATTTTCAGAGTTTTTTGAAATGAAAATAAACACATCATAGTAGCCTGTTTATAATTGGAAGGTTATGAGAAGAGTAGCTAATTGGATTTTATGTTCATTATGGTACTAAACAAGAATTGAGTCTCGTTTAAATGAAATACACGATTGGTTTATTCATTAAACCATAGTTTGACAGTCCTCAGTATTCTTCAGGGATGTTTTAAAGTCATCTGTAAATGTGACATTCCTTTTTGAATGGAAAGCAGTGCTCAGACACAATTAACAGTGCTGTCTGTCTCTGGGTTGGTACAGTGTATATGATGTGCCTTGGTCATTCCCATCCCCCACTCCATTTCTTCCTTTCCCACCATCCCCCCACTGGTCCCCATCATAATATCCTATCTTCCTCACAATTCCATGTCTTACCTACAGAGTCCAGATAGTGCTGCCCATAGGCCCATGTGTATGGGGTCCATCCACTGAAGCCTGGGTAACCTACCAGTGCCTACCTGCCCCCCACAAGTGACTGTCTTCCTCACCATCTACTTACTAGTTGCTGTTATCTCCTCAGTGAGGGGCAGGTAGTGGGTAAGGGGTCCTTCTTCCTCCCATGCTGGGGATGTTTAACTCTCTTCCTCTTGACAATAAAACTCTTAATTTGGAAGAGTTTATGAGAGTTCTGGTCATTTTACCTTCCTGGCTTCATTATTTATAAAAATGAAGTGTCTTCCAAGGTATTTCATACCTTGGACAAACTGCACATCTCTTTTGTGCCGTTTGTTGTTTTGTAGGTCCTTAGGGAAAATAGGGACCACACACCAAATACACTGCACATAGGTCTCCTGTGGACATTTTTTTCAAATTAGGAGTTCCTTCCTTTCAGCTAATACTTCTTTAGTTTGCATTGTGACAGATTTGAAAAGGACTTTTATCAATTGCTATTCTAAAAGTTCTTTTTTAAATGTAGCTGTTCTGAATGGAATTTTGCCTTTCTCTCCCTTCCAGGCCCAGATTGCCTTCCTTCAGGGGGAGAGGAAAGGTCAAGAAAACTTGAAGAAAGATCTTGTGAGGAGGATCAAAATGTTGGAATATGCTCTGAAGCAGGAAAGGTAATTCAGCAACATCTCTCTGTCCTAACTATCTTTATTATTCTACCATTTCTAAGCTAAAGTCATATCTTAATTCCATGTGCTCTGGAACCCCAGTAGGGAATATACATTTTATGTATGATTGCAATATGTTTACCTTGTCACGAGTAACAGTAACTTCAGTAAGGTGATTTATGTGGTCTAAAACATGCTAGCCACATTTATTTATTCACACTCTACTTCTTATATACAGCTTATGTTCTTCCTAGACTTAGACTGGCATCCGTTTCTACCCACTCCACCTCCTGTTCTCTGTTATTTATTTATTTAGGTTTGTTTGTTTGGAGATAGGGTCTCATACAACCTAGCCTCAGACTCAGTGGGTACACAGCGCTGGCCTTGAACACTTCATCCTTCTGCATCTTAACCCCCATCTACCAGGATTACGGGTCATGACCCACTCTTGTGTTTCTGTGTTTTATATAGTTTTATCTGTTTTTCTTGGGTCTCAGTCTCGGTGCCCTCCTTCCCAGACCTGGCTTCCAGGTTCTCCCAGCATCTCTCAGTCCCTACCTGTTACTGGATATGGCTGGTATACTCCACCTCCACCCTGAACTCCCCAGCCCAGGGGCTGGGCTGCCCTTCCACCAGAGGTTCTTCATATGTAATCCAGACATTTTGGTTACCTGCCCCTTGTTTTGGACCTTTGCCCCCCCCCCCCCCCCCCCCCCCCCCCCCCCACATACCTACCTATGTCTTGTCCATTCTGGACTCTCACAGATGTCCCTGCCTCTACCTACACTCTTTTTTATCTACAATAAATTTTCTCTTCCATCATACCGAAGAGCTGTCATGTCCTTTCCTTTTTATTTCTTTTTTTTCATCCATAGAGTAAAATTATATTTTAATTGTAAAGGAAATTTCTATAATGGTTCTCCCTTTTTTATGATATAATTTTCAGTTTGATATAGTTTCTTTCTTTTTCTTTGTTTTTGATTTTTCAAGACAGAGTTTTGTGTAGCTTTGTAGACCAGGCTGGCCTCGAACTCACAGAGATCCTCCTGCCTCTGTCTCCTCAGGGCTGGGTTTAAAGGTGTGCACCACCACTGCTCTCTTTCAGTTTCATATAGTTTCTTAAGAAAAAAAAAAAATTGCTCTGATTGACAATACCTTTTCATAGACTTTTTAAAGAAATTTTATTCCTGTGTCCCTTTGTGAGATACCCTTATCTCCCTGGAGGAAAGCTTGCCTTGTGATTTTGCTAGTGTTACATTTGGGTCATAAGTGAAGGGAAATAGGTCACATGTCAGAGTTTGGGAAATTACCATGTGGATTTAGTTTCTTTAGCGGATAGTCTTCAGATTTTTTTTTTTTTTTTTTTTTTATCAGCACTCTGAAGTAGCTCATTGTTTTCAGTAATCTGAACATTTGATAGCCTGGGATTAGAATTCTCTGTTTTAGTAAATTTTTGCCTTATTTTTGATAGTCACTGTTTTTTGTTTCATTTTGAAGTTGGCAAATGGACTGTATGTAAAACCACCATAAAATAACATTAACAAGATATACAAGAGGTTTTTCCAGTTGGTGAAAGTGACATAGGGAGATAGAAAGAAAAACATTTTTAAAAGTGTGTAATTTACAAATTTTGAGATCTTAAGCTGTCTTCACTGTAGGCTTTCCTAGAAGTGAGGGAGATGAGAGCAGTAATAAATGTACTATTTCAAGTAGTGTGTGTCCTAGCTTATTTTCTGTTGCTGTGATAAAAAACCTACCAAAACCAGCTTGGTGGGGGAAGGCTTTTTTTCTTTTTTTCTTTTTTATCTTAGAAGTCCCAGGTCATAGTCCATCCCTGAAGGAAGTCTGGGTAAGCACTCAAGGCAAGACCCTGGGGCAGGAACTAAAGCAGAGACCACGAGGAACTCTGCTTCCTGGCTTGCTCCATTTGCTTGGGTTTTTGTTTGTTTCCTTCATTTTCAAAAATATAATTATTTTTATTCATATGTGTGCCTTTTGTGTGCATGTATGCCTATGCACCGCATATGTGCCTGGTATTGGATCTTCTGGAACTAAGTTACAGACAGCTGTGAGCTTTCATGTGGGTGCTGGGAATTGGACCCAGGGCCTCTGGAAGAGCAGCCAGCGCTCTTAACTTCTGAGCCATCTCCAACCCCTTCATTTGCTTTCCTATACAACTCAGGGCCACCTGCCAGGGGTAGCAGTGCCCACAGTAGGCTGGGCCCATGGACCAATCTGATGGAGACAGTACTTTAATTGTGGTTTCCTCTTCTCCAGATAACTGGAGTTTGTATCAAGTTGACAAACTAGCACAGTGTCCAGACCCAGAGACTTAAAACTAAGTAATTATTGTAGAGTTACAGGTCAGATCTCTCCAGACAGAATCTAAAGCCTGTATTATTTATTATTTTGTTATCTATAGTAAGGCAGTAGAACTGAAACACACAAATACTAAAGTTACCAGAAATGTGTGTGGAGGGGAGGTGCAGGCAACACACACACACCTGAGGGCTCATATCTAGACCTGTAAACTGCAGAAGTGCACTGAGGTGCTGGGGCCTGAGGTAGAACTATGTATCTGATACATAGTGGGGTCAGAAAGGAGGAAACAGCTGCACCATCATCCCTAAGAGGCTTGAGCAGCATCATGACAGATAAGATGCCTCACCAGTGAGACAATGTAGAAGGTAGAGAGAGGCCACATTAGAAGCAAGCTGTGTACTCAGAGATCATGTGTGTGCAGGGTGTTAGAGTGGAGTGGGCTTTGTTGTTTGATGACTGCAAGTGGAGATGGGTGCAAAGGAGTCAGATTGTGGAGTCTACTTGAGGAGTTCAAACGTTCACCCCAAATGTGGTAGGAAACCTGGAAAACTTTCAAAATGTTTGTATCAAATGATCTTGAGCTAATTGGAGAATTCTTTTATACTCTTTACTCAAGTTTGCCAAACTATATGTTTATCTTTGCTTAATTATAGTCAGTGTCAATGGGCCTGTTGTTTTTTCCCTAAATTATTTGCTTAACTCTCTCCTAACTAGTTAATGTATAATTTCTTTTTTTCCTTTTTTTTCCCTCTGTGTTTTCTAAGAGCAAGAACCTTCTCTTATCTAGCCACCATGTCCTATTAATGAAACTTAATGTTGGTGTAATTCTGTTACTTGTTCAGATGTCCTGATAGTGATCCAGGCTGGGGTCATGCGGCTAGAGCAAAGTTTTAAGCATGACATACAGTTTAGAAATATCTCCCTGGGGAGTGTACTAGAGAGATCTGCTTATCCGGGCAGTAACATTATAATAAATGAGAAACGATAAACGTAGTACCTGCTGGAATATAGCAGTATCTGCCATAAAACATTCTAAGTACAAAGAATCTAAAATGTGGAGTTATAAAAATGTGGAGATGGCATCCTGAGATAGAGAGAAGGGAAAGTCAAGAATGACTCCCAGGTTTCCATCTTGGGAGAGAGGCAGTAGAACAAATTAAAAAGCATGGGTGAACGTGGAAGGATAGTGAGGCATATCAAAGGAGAGAAAACTGGTTGGAGCCTGGAAGCAGGCACATTAGGGAAGGGATAAGGAGGAAGAGCCATAAAGGAGTCAGTGTTTGGGAAGGGGAAGGAGAGGGGGGTAGACACCAGCAGATGCCAGAGCAGTCTCAAAGCAAGCTATGACTGAGTGTAGTCATTGGGCTTGCCCATTGGTGCCTGTTGATGTCCTTGACAGGATGGCTCCCCAGACACAGCAAGAACAGGAGCCAGGTCACAGGAAGAAGCAGAGGGAAGGGACAGGAGGATTTCTTTTCTTCTTTAACAGAGAGATCAAAACTAATTTTGGTCCTTTGGGTGTTCGTGGGGTGATTTGGGAGTTTTTCTGATCCAGTGGCACTTGTTCAGTTTGATTAGTTATTTTCCCTTTGGACAGAGCCTTGATGTGTAGCTGAGGCTGGCCTAGAGTCCCTGTAGTCTCTGGGTGCTGGGATTACAGGCATGCCTCACCATGCACTGCTGCAATAAAACTAAAAAAAAAAAAAAAAAAAAAAGAAAAGATTCATTATTATTATTCTTAGTTGTTATATTTCAAATGTATGGGTATTTTGCCTGCGTGCACCATGTGTGGGCCTGGTATCCATAGAGACCAGAAGAGAGTGTTGGATTCCTCTGGAACTGGAGTTACACAAAGTTGTGTGCTGCCATGTGGGTGCTGAGAATCAAACTCAAGTCCTCTGGAAGAGTAGCTAGTGATCTTAACTGCTGAGTCATCTCTGCAGCCCCTGCAGCCCCTGCAGCCCCTGAGGGTATTAATGTAACAAATACAAAGTATGTTCTTTGTATCATGGAGCATTTGATTTCTTTTCAGTCCAAGATTATTTTTCTAGTGCTTTAAATACTGGGTATTACAAATACATTTTGGAACTCTAGAATGCTCCAGTGATTTCTGTATTGGAATTAATTTTCTAATACCAGGAATTAAAAAAATTGGATTGGAAGCATTCGAAACAAAAATGTGGAGAAATGAGCAACTTAAAAATTATGTATATGAATGTTCTTGTGTTTGAGTACAAGTATGCACATATTATACAGTGTGTGTGTGTGTGTGTGTGTGTGTGTGTGTGTGTGTGTGTGTGTGTGTGTGTGTGCGCGCGTGTGTGCGCGCGCGCGCTATGGTCCATGAGTGGAGGTCAGATTGCGACCTTGAACGTGGACCTCACCTTCTCCTTGTTTGAGATGGAATCTTTTGCTGTTTACCACTGCTTGTGCCAGGCTCCCTGGTCCATGAGCTTCTGGGGATTACACACATGAGCTCCTCTTCTGGCATTTTGTGTGTTCTGTGGATCTGAGCTCAAGTCCTTACACTGAGTGGGCAAGTACATTATCCACTGAACAAACTCCTTAGAATAAGTTTAAACTGTCTCTACACATGATTGCAGGCTTTAACAGTTACTATGTTTGTCGCTCGTTTTGCCCTGCTCTATTTTTCTAATTTAATTTTGTAAAGTCACACATAGAAACATCATGCCGCAAGATTAAGGTAGCCACTCAAACGCTGGTGTGGTCATTCACCTCAGTTAACTTTTGTACAGTTAGAATGGTCATTCTGATGTTAGAAGTTCACTTGATTTGATACCTTCACAACCAATTAACATTTTTATGGCCCTGGTCCATTTTAAAGGTGATCCAATATCATGCCATTTCACCTATCAACAACTAAGTGAAGATCAATTAGTCTTTTTAAATGAACTATCCACCTAGCGATGAGCTTTGCTTAGCACATGATAGACCTTATAGAAAAAACAGGGGTTACACACTTCTTTTCAGTAGTACAGGGCTTGTTTGGCATTTTTCATCAATTTTAATTCTAAGGAACTTCAGATCTATGTAAAACTGACTTTGAAACTTTCTCCCATGTTTCCTTTTTCTCTATATTCACTGTTACTTTTATGGTTACTGTGATAGTCCAACTGTCTTTTTGCCTTTTTATTTCCAAATTCTAATTCATTTTCTAGGTAATAGAAATAATTTTCCAAATTAAAAAAGGAATAATCATGCTATATTCCTGCTTTAAAATAACCTGGTTAATTTCAAAGCTATTCCTATGTAAGTAGCACTTTTTTTTTTTTTTTGTAATGTCTTCTTTGAATTCTGTTCCTTCTCATTCTTTTGCTTACTCAACCTAGTGTTTGTAGCATTTTGCTCTACTGGGTGTTTATGTTTTAGGAGACAGAGCTTGTCCTAAACACAGCAGTTATTTGTGCTAGACAGAAATATCTTGTGCATCTTACTGATTGAGGTTTAATTAAAATCTCATGTTGCCTTTTCTATAGCTGTATTGGACACTGCATTTTGCAGAGTTAGATAATTCTTTGTCCACATTCTTCAGATATATGCTTACAACGTTTATGTCAGTTTGCAATACTTACTGATTTTCCTCTTGTTTTTGCTGTTACCTCACTGTAAGCTGCAGGTTACTTCCAGCAGTCAGCACACCAGCTTGCATATGATAAGGATTCAATGGTTTGTTGAAATTAGGGAATGGGGAGGTGGCTCAGAGGGTAAAGTGCTTACCTTGCAAGTATAAGGACATGAGTTCAGATCCCCATGCCTCACCCCCACCCCCCCCCAAAAAAAATAAACAGGCACAGTAGCACTTAGCTTTTACCCCATCATGGGGGCATAGATAGGCACTTGGAGTTTTACTGACTAGATAATGTAACTGAAATGGAGAGCTCTGAGTTCATTGAAAACCCTGTCTCAAAAAACAGTGTACAAAATGATAGTGGAAGATTCTTAACCTTGACTTCTGGCCTCTATACATACATTTATGAGCTTGCACACCAGTGCACTCACTTGTGCATACACATATAGACACACAAAGCATTCAGCATTTAAGATGTGATTGGCCATGTTTTTTTACTCCCATTTTATTTATGAGTTATTTTTTTTAAAGATTTATTTATTATATATACAGTGTTCTGCCTGCATGTATGCCTGCACACCAGAAGAGGGCACCAGATCTCATTATAGATGGTTGTGAGCCACCACGTGGTTGCTGGGAATTGAATTCAGGACCTCTGGAAGAGCAGCCATATAGTAGGAGCCAGAACTTATCCTAAACATAACAGTTATTTACATATTTTGTCTTGGTCTCAATTTTTGTGAAATAGCTGATAATGTGACTGTTTTGTCCCATATATTGTATATAATGTTTTCTGATTATTTTAAAAATAACTTCTCTTGCAGTTTTTTTCTAAGACCACTAGAATGCACTATACGGCAGCATGTTATATTGAGAAATGCTTTCTCAATGTGTGTTTACATCATATAAATAAGGCCATACAATTTGAGGCTACTTTTATTTGAATGTTACTATTATCCATCGTCAAGCCAGTTATGCGACATTTAAGAAGCTAGTATTACTTTGTCTTATGGGAGATGGAGATGAAATATTTCTGGAAATCTAAAGAATGGCAATTGCATTAAGAACCTGTTTACTTTCTTATAACTGTAGACAAGCTAATGTCTCCACAGCTTGCCTTCTGATCATTTCAAGTATATAGAAGTAGATTTGGACACTTTTAGTTCAGTGATGGAATCATTGTTTTAAGAGATACATTGGAAATATGGAAAAGCATGTTTTAGATAATTTGGTGCTTATAATGTTGTAAATTGTCTTAAAACTCCTCTGTATACAAAAGCTAGTAAATTAAAAAAAAAATAGTTTGTTCTCTGTGACTACAAAATGGTTATTGAAAAACAATGAAGGATTTTGGTAACATACATCAGAGTGAATAATTTTCTTTATCTAATTTAAAATTATATGAAACCTTATGTGTGCCATCAATTTTTTAAAAAAATTAACGTATTTTTTATTTTGTGTGTATTTTTTGTCTGTGTGTATATATGAATGTATGTATGTATGTATGTATGCCACATGTGTGCCTGGTGATGAGGAGGGCTTCGTATCCCTGGAACTAGGGTTACAGATCATTGTGAACTGTTACCTCAGGAAGAGTAGCAAGTGCTCTTAACTGATGAGCCATCTACCCAGAACAACCCCCATATACAACCCACCATACACAGACCCCCATACATACCCCACCGTATACACACACCCATACACAGACCCCTATGCACACCCCACTGTATACACACACCCATACACACCCCACCACACACACACAAGCACCCATATACACCCCCATACACACACAAACACCCATATACACCCCCCATACACACACACCCATATACGCCCCCCATACACACCTCACCATATACACCCCACCATACACATGCAAACACCCATATATACCCCCCATACACAACTCACCATATACACCCCACCATACACAAACACCCATTTACACCCCCCATACACACCTCGCCATCCATACATGCCCCACCATACACAAACACCTATATACACCCCCATACACACCTCGCCATCCATATATACCCCACCATACACAAACACCCATATACACCCCCATACACACCCCACCATATACACACAATCCACCACATGCACAGCAGTCATTTTTTTTATAAAAAGGAAATGCTTTCTATTTGGCTATGTTGCCTTTTCCTTCATTCTTTGGTTCTGAAAATTATTGTTTTATTTCTATATTTTTATTGTTGTCTGTCTAAACTCTTTGGATATTTACTTACAAAAAGCTTTATTTTATGGAGAAAAAGAGTTAAATATGCAAATATATTAGCATATGTGGGGTTTTTTATTGTTGTTGTTTTTAGTTAATCTTTAAAAAAAAATTCTCCTACCCGGGTGTTGGTGGCACATGCCTTTAATCCCAGCACTCGAGAGGTAGAGGCAGGCGGATCTCTGTGAGTTCGAGACCAGCCTGGTCTACAAGAGCTAGTTCCAGGTCAGCCTCCAAAGCCACAGAGAAACCCTGTCTCGAAAAACAAAAAACAAACAAAACAAAACAAAATCTCCTTATCTGGATCATTTTTCTTGTTTCATTTGTGTGGTTCTGAGATGGTTAAAATCAATGGCTGAAAATAATAATACTCTGCTAACTTTAAAAGGAAATTAGACAGTCTTCCTAATCCTGTTTTTTTTTTTTTCTGACTAAAGACAAAGTGTATGTTAACTAAGGGAAATACTTAGAATATCTCATTGAACAAGGATAATTTCATCTTGATTTTTGTCATGCTTGATGGCTCACCATAAGAATATCCAGTGAATTGTAAGCACCCAGCGAGGCACATAACAATATGGTTAATGTTTCCTTTTAAGATAAACTCAAATATTGGGAAAGGCTACCCTTAACATACTAAATTGTACAGTGAAGACCTCTTGCCGGGCATTGGTGGTGCCCGCCTTTAATCCCAGCACTCGGGAGACAGAGGCAAGTGGTCTCTGTGAATTCGAGACCAGCCTGGCCTACAAGAGCTAGTTCCAGGACAGCTTCCAAAGCTATAGAGAAACCCTGTCTCAAAAAAACAAAACAAAACAAAACAAAACCTCTTTTATTCATTGATATACTTCAGCTTAAAGTCATCAAGAAAATTTGGATACAACGGAAACTAGAATTTTATGGTTCATTCTAGGTATAAAATGAAGTTATTTTTTATTCCTAGTGTTATCCTTTTGTTTCATTATAATGACAGTTGGTTATTCAACAACAAAAAAGGCAATCTCTTGTTGTTGTTGTTCCATGTTACTTTGACACCCTGGAAATCTCAGAGCCTTTGATAGTTCTAGGTATGGTTAGCCAGGACTTTTGCACACTTAGAACTTCTCTTATATATCTTAAAGCTTACTTAACTATGTTTTAACGTGGCTTGTATTTTCTCATTTCTTTGTTAGAGCCAAGTACCACAAGTTGAAATATGGGACAGAGCTAAATCAGGGAGACATGAAGCCTCCAAGCTATGATTCTGGTAAGCTACTTATAAAGGAAGTTTAAGTATTAAAAAGTTAACGAAACTATAAGTTAGTATATATTTGCATCTTATCTTTTGCCGTCTTGTTTTTTGGGTACTAACCATTTAGTCTCATGAGATCGTTTTTTTTGTAACACTTTGTTTTTCTTCATTTGCATTTCTTTTAGTTCACTATTTTCTGCCTGTATTCTGCCTGTGGTAGATGGTTAAGACATAAGCATGCACCAACCTCACGTCTTACTGTGTCTTCCTTGTATTAACGGAAACTTTAGGCATGAGCAAAACAAAGTGTGTGCTGTCCTTGAAATCCTGTAACCAAGCAGAACTATAGACATGCTGAGTTTCAAGAGCATAAGGCAAATGACAAATCCCTTAAGCATGATGCCTCTGCAGTTAGAGTGTATGCCTAGTATGTATTAGGCCCAATACTCAGTACTGCCAACAAACAAAAAGCAAGCAAACTTGACCCCTTAGGTGTACTTTCTTACTTAACAGAAACACAGTGTTTGTTTGTTGGCAGTTGTAAAGGAAGTGTGAGGAAAATTATACCAAATCTATTACCATACTTAATTTTTGTCATATTTCAGATGTAATTCTTATTCACCTAGTGAAGGAGGTATTAGCAATCATTCTATCCTTTATTAAAACCCATAATTCTAAGGGCTTCATTAACTTTAATTCTTGAAATAATCATTTAACAAAGATACTGTTATTCTCATTTTATGTATGCAAAACTTAAACTCAGGAAGTTGGAAAATTTTTGCCTGAGGTTAACCAGTCATTAAATGATGTGGAATATGGAGTTGAACTCAGGCTTATCTGACTCAGAAATTCATATTCTTCCCATTTTTCCCCACATTTGAGTACACTGGAGAAGCATTCCAAAATGGGTTGTAACTGTAATAGTCTTTCTTTACATTCCAGAATATTACAAATATGCTCTTATGATTTTCCCGAATTTTTTGATATCTGTTGTCTCTCCGCTGACCTCTAATCTTATTAATTTGAATTTTCTATGTCTTTTAGCTAATTCAACTCAGGGTTTGTCAATCCTGCCTATCTTTCCAAGGCACTAACTCATCATTTCATATATTCTTTGTATTTTTTTCCATTTCATTTATTTCTGGTCTGGTGTTGATAATTTCTTTCTACCTACTGCTTTGGGGTTTTCATGCCTTTGAGGTGCGTTTTTAAGTTACTTATTTGAGTTCTTATTCTTTCCTTATTTTTTTATTTGTAAACTGTGTGTATGATGTACATGTGCATGTGCACATGAGTGCAGGTTTTGTAGCGGCCAGAGGAGGGCGTTGGATCCCCTGGAGCGGGAGTTACAGGTAACTGTGAGCCACTTGTGGATGCAGAGAGCTGAACTCAGGATCCTCTGGAAGGACAGTGCATACTCTTAACTGCTGAGCCCCTCTCCACTCCCTCTTTCTGCTTTCTATTCTTATTTGTAGGTACTTAAAGCTATAAGTTTCCCTCTTCAGTTTGCTTTCATTTTATCCCAGAGGTTTTGGTATATTGTGTTTTCATTTCAGTTTCATTCCAAGTATTTTTTTTCTTTCTTCATTTCTTCAGTGGTGCATTCATCGTTGTTTTGTTTTCTTCAGTCAGGGTCTCACTATGTAGCCTCTGTGTTCATGGAACTCTCTGTAAGACCATGCAAGTCTCACTGAGATCTGCCTGCCTCTGTGCCAGCACACCAGCTCAGTACTTACTGTGCTTTCAGTCAATCTCCATTACTTCGTGTGTTTTCTATAGTTTTCTTGTTATTGATAGTAAGCTTTATTGCATTGTGGTCAGATAGAATACATGGAGTTATTTCAATTTTTCTAAATTTGTTGAGATTTGCTTTGGGTCCCAGAACGTGTCTATTTTAGGGAAACTTCAATGGATTGTTTAAAAGAATGTGTATTCTATATGTTTGGGCAGAATATCCTGTAGATACATGTTAAGTCCATTTTGTACTTGATGACATTTAACTTTTTTATTTTTTGTTAGTTGAAGTCACCTGTCATTACTTTCAGTTAATCTGAGTCTTACTGTTTACTCGTATTTCATGAATTTAGATGTGCTGAGTTTGGTGCTTAAATGCCTAGAATTATAATTGCTCTGTGGGTTGTTTGATCAGAATAAAATTCTCTTACAGTTTTGGGTGATGTCCATGATGTCAATGTTAGAGTAGCAGTGGTATAACAGAAGATTCTTGTTTCCTGGTCCATTTGGTTGTAGTTACTTTCCATCCATCCATTCACTCTAATGGATGGTTATGCACTCTAATTGCTGTATCTGTCCTTGAGCTAGAGGTGTAGTTCTTGTCAACAGCAGAAAGATGGACCCTGTTTTCTGGTACAGTTGGTTCTAATACATTTGTGGCTTTTGATTGGGGGGTTTGAGGACGCTGATATTTGGAGCTCTTATTGAGAGATGGGTATTAATCACCGTTGTTTTGCTGATTTTGTGACATGTGATATGTGAATAACAAAGACCCAGAGACAGATATTGGGGTTAAATCACAGAAGCAGAGTGACCAGCCACTAGAGCGTTCTCACCTCTCCCAATGCTCAGACTGCGGGGGCGATTCACTGAACTTGAGACTGCTCCTGAGTGCACTGCTCCTCAGGCTGCACTGAGCTCCTGTCTCCTCCTGCCTTACATTCCTCTGTAGTGCTGGGATCAAAGGAGTGGGATCCAAGTGCTGAGGTCACTTTTGTGTGAGCTCTGTTTCTCTTTTAGACTGGATCAATTGCATGTAGCTCACAGAAATCTGTCTGCCTGTCTCTTGAGTGCTGGATTAAAGGTGTGCACCACCACTGCCTGGTCTCTGTGGAAAGCTAGTGTGGGTAGCTTTGCACTCTGATCTTCAGGCAAGCTTTATTTGTTATAAACAAACTATCACCACAGTGGTAGTCTTACTTTGCATACCTGTTTAACTTGTCATCATTAGTCTTTCTCCCTTGTATTCTCTGTAGGGCCAGTTGTTAGTCACAAAGTTCCAATCAAGATGCCAGCTTTATTCTCATGGCCTGATCTTTATATCTACCTTGGCCTTATCTCATTTGTCTTTAGCCGCCCCCCCCCTTCTGTATATTTAGTGTTTTAGCTATGACATGGTGTGGGGAGTTCTCCTCTGGTCCTTTGCTTTTTGTGGGCATCCATTGCTGGGATTTTACTGAGGATGTGTTCAATGCCTTTGACCTGGAATTCCTTTTTTTTTGACCTGGTATTCTTTTTCTTCCCTTATGTCCATAATTCATAGATTTGGTGGTTATGTGGTATCCAGATATTCTTGTATATTTTATTCTTTTTTTTAAGTTGCCATTGTCTTTAATCAAAGGATTCTGAGGGGACAGAGCACAAGGGAGCTAGTCTCTTACTGGGCAGTGGGAGTGATCGGAAGGGCCCAGAGCAGGGGTTGGACTGAGCAGGTTGAGCCCTAAAAGAGGGCCTGTCTGGTGGTGTGCTCAGCATAGTGTCCTGCAGGCAGAATTCTCCATTCTGAGAATCTGGAGCTCACAAATCAGCTAGACAGACTGGCAATAAGCCTCAGGTACCGTCTGTCTCCATCTCCCCAGTGGTGGCAATATAGACATGACTGGCGCTATTTAAGAATATTTTAGTTTTTGAAATATGAATGCTAGCATTTAACTCAAAACTACATGTTTATATAGCAAGCACTTTACAGATTGAACCATGACCCTAAAACTCTAGCCTCCCCCAAAAAAATATTTAAAAAGAATAAATGGACAATTTTTTTCAAAAGACTAACACCATCTGATTCAAAGCTATGTGTTTAATCAGTGCTTTGATGAAACACACTGCTTTGTGTATGTGCACAAGAGTATATATTTGCAATTATTTTAAGCCCCCCCCATACAATTTTTAGAGCTCTTTAGTAGTACAAAGGTCTAGTTGCTGTGCATAAAAGAGCTTTATTGGGGCTAGATAGTTGGCTTAGCTGTTAAGAGATTGAGAGCCCAGTCTGGTCTTCAGCTTTTGATCTTGCTGTCTCCACCTCCCCAGTATAGATTATAAACTTGTGCCACTGGTTTCATGAAGTGCTTGGGATAGAACCCACGGCTTTAAGCAGGGCCAGTATTTTATGCCCAGCTAAAATAATTTCTTGCATTTGTTCGTTTTGGTTTTGTTTTGTTTTTGAGACAGGGTCTCTCTGTGTAGTTTTGGCAGTCCTTGAACTCAGTCTGTAGACCAGGCTGGCCTCAACCTCAGAGATCCTCCTGCCTCTGCTTCCCAAGTGCTGGGATTAAAAGTGTGTGCTACCACGACACAGCTCTGAGATTATTTCTTTACATATTTACATCAGACTATATGGGGTTTTTGCTTGTTTTACTTTTATTACCATTTCTAGGTTTTATAATATTTCTATTTGGTTCTCATGTGCAACATGATTTGGTAGGTCTTTGTCCTGGAGGAAAATTCTCAGCCTAGTAAAAAGTGAACGAAAAAAAATCTTTAGTTTTAATTTTGTTGCTCTAAAGGGAATCCAGTAGAGATAACTTAATCATACAGAGTTTTATTACCAAAATTTGAGTTAAAACAGTTCTTATTGCCCTAAAACATAGCTCCTGAAATTACAGTTATAATCTTTATTGGAAACTGTTTATAAATTGCCCAAACATGTCAAATAAGTCACTTTCATTATGATTTAATATTCTCCAGATGAAGGCAATGAAACAGAGGTGCAGCCACAGCAAAATAGCCAGTTAATGTGGAAACAAGGCCGGCAGCTTCTCAGACAGTAAGTACCCAAGATTAAACCTACAGCTTGCTGATTGTGAAAAAAACTTGTTCATGCCTTTTCTTAAAGAAAGATTTATTTATTTATTATGCATATAGTGTTCTGCCTGAATGTATGTCTGCATGCTGGAAGAGGGTACCAGATCTTAGTATATATGGTTGTGAGCCACCATGTGGTTGCAGGGCTTCTAGGAGAACAGCTAGGGCTCTTAACTTATAAGTCATCTCTCTAGCCCCCTTGTTTGTATTTTTAACTCATGAGTTTCTCTTGTATTATACTACTGCTGAAAGTAGTAATTAGTAAGGTAGTTAAAAAAAACTTAATTGATATACTATTCATTTTTCATATTTACATTTCTCCACATTGTTGGAATTTATGTAGTTAAAAGAATTCTGTCATTATTATTCTCATTTCATAAACTCTCTAAACATAGATGTTTTACTACAAACCAACAAGGATTCCCATGTACATTTCTGTTACAAGCCTTTTCAGTACATTGAAGAACTCTGTGGATCCCTGTATTTTGCAGGTGCTGCCTAATACATAATTTCCCCTAAATGTGTAACTGGGATTTTACAAAGGGTCTGATGTCAAGTTGAAGGCTGGACCTGTAGTCTTGTAAATTGGTATATAGATTTATGCCAAAGTAAAAGGAAATTTATTCAATTTTGGACTTTTGGGATGGCTTATTAGTAGTTTATTTCTAAGTTTTTCAAAGTAGATTAATGTCATCCATTCTTTTTGACTATAGAAAAGGAATATCACATTATCTCATACCTGTCTTTTATCTAGATAAAGTTAGAAAAAAATTTAAAATATTAAGTGGATTTTCATTATTGTTTTCATTTTAGTCTTTTTTTTTTTTTTCTCCCGAGACAGGGTTTCTCTGTATAGCTTTGGAGCCTATCCTGGCACTCGCTCTGGAGACCAGGCTGGCCTCGAACTCAGAGATCCACCTGTCTCTGCCTCCCGGGTGCTGGGATTAAAGGTGTGAGCCACCAATGCCCAGCCCTTCATTTTAGTCTTAATTCGACATGTATTTTTCTTTTTAAATTTACTTTTGGTACTGTAAATATTTTTGGTACTGTGAGTTGCCACACCAAGCATGTGTTTTTGTTTTGTTAATAAGAAGTGTTTAAATAGTAAATTAAGACATTTTCCAACTTCAAAAGATTCATTACCTACTTCTCAGAAAGGTGAAATTTTATCAGTAAGCTATGGATTAGTTGCTTAATGAAGTGAACATCTGTGGCAAAGCAGTTTTGAAACAGAAATTTGTATTTAGTTTTGTTGACAAAGTGAGGTACATACCAAATATTAAGTAGAAAAATAGCCTGGAGATGCCCCAGTAGTTTCAAGCCTTGGCTGCTTTTTTGGAGGCTGTGGGTTTGGTTTCCAGAACCCACACGGTAGCTCACCACCATTTATAACTGCAGTTCTAGGGGATCTGATGCAGTGTTCTGAGTGCTGCAGACACCAGGCACACATGCGCTATACATCCACATGTGCACGCAAGACATTAGACACGTAAATAAGCCTAAAAATGTTATAGTAGTTTCAAAAATGTCTGATTAAATTCAGCAAGTAGGAATTATTCCTTCAAATTTTCACATGAAAACTTTTCTGTAGATGCTGGGTGGGACTGAAAAACGAGCATGTTGATTTCCTAAGATGTACTATCCCATTTGATCACATAACTTTGTGTGGTGTCTTAGCTCTAAAGACTGTAAAAATGGAAGCCTGAAGTCAGCTGAGTTTAACCCAGCTGTTTTGTCAACCCTCGCTTTCATCTTCCCTTCAGTAGTGTGCACACCTACTAGATAAATAAATGCATGTCATCACTATATGTGATATCCATGCCGTTTCCTTTGTTCTGGTCTTTGAAATACATCATTATTAACAGTTAATGTTGGGACTGTCAGGTGTAGAGTTCTCATCATGGGCTCCTTGATGAGAACAGAAACAGCTTGAGTAAGGCTGCATATCACAGAAGTGACAGAAAATGGGCTTAGTGCCAGATATAACTTTGCTCTTTTTCTGTGCCTCTGACTCCCTGGAACTACACACATTCATATGAGTCTGTATACCTCATGCCCCACAATTCCGTTGTCTCTTCTACAAGTGACTGTTATGAAAAATGTTATCCTTTTCTGTGCCATGGAAAGAAACTATTTAGAAGCATTCTCTCTGGATTTCAGTTAATGACATGTCAAATAAGAAATGTCAAAAACAACTAAAGCAGTTATTGTAAAATAGTAGTGGTAGAGTTTGGGAGGAGATTGTTCCATTCTTCCTAAAGAAAAATGTGTGCTCTGAAATACATTGAAGAAGAGTTTCTTCTTCAGATAAATGAATAGTGTTATTGTATAGTTCTTTGGTTTTTCTCAGTGACTATAGAGGCTGGTACTGCAAGAGACAGCTCCATCTGCAGCTGGAATATTATTAACAAGTCTTACTGACATAGTACTGTTCTGTTAAACCCTGTGTAGTCAGTGAGTTTGAAGAAATACTTTTATTTATGTTTTAAATTTTACAATGCTAATTCCTGTGTGACTGAATTGTGAGGATGTCTTTGTGCAGGTATCTCCAGGAGGTTGGCTACACAGATACTATTCTAGATGTGAAATCCAAAAGAGTGCGAGCATTGTTGGGCTTTTCAAGTGATGTCACTGACAGGGAAGATGACAAAAACCAGGATTCGGTTATAAATGGCACAGAGGCTGAAGTTAAAGAGACAGCAATGATTGGGTGAGTTATTTTGACTGGAAATTGTAGCTATAAATTCAGTTCTTATTGAATATTTTTGGTATGGAAGGCATTGAGGTTTTAAATGGTGACTTAGTAATAATTTAATTTTAGTTAATTAAATGTTATAATTTAAAAGTTTCATTTAGTTAAAAGCCTTTATAATTATTTCAATTCAGGAACTTAATTTTTATTTAAGGTATTTTTATTTGCTTTATATTAGGTACTTAACAGATTTTAGTATCTTGAAGCTCAGTTAACCACTATTACAATCTCATAAAAGATGTTGTTGAAATTAAATACAAATCTGTAAAAATGATGTTTTACTGATGAACCATAAATCAGAAAGTCTTTTTTAATCATTTCATTTATAGCATAATATTGTTCCTTATCTTTTCCTTTGATAGAAAATATCTATTTTAAATATATGTATATACCCACACATACACATATATTTTGAATTAGTAGATTAAGTGTGAAAATTCAAGTTATTTGAACTATTTGATTTAATTAACTATTTTATGAACATAGTCAAATAGAGATTACTTTTAATAGAGACATATGTCATAAATCTTCATTAAATAAAAAACAGATTCTGTGAATGTCGAAGGCTAAAAGAATGGTCAATTGAACTCTGTAAATTTCATAGGGAAAACATAGTTCCTGTTACTTGAAACATAAAACTGTAGAATTAGACAAAAATTTAAAATACAAATTTTATAAATAAATTCCATTAGACCTTTAAAAAATGTCTCTTAATCCTCATACAAGATATGCATGCTATGAATAGTCGTAGGTTTGTTTTTTTGTGTGTGTGTTTTTTTTGTTTTTTTTTTTTTTGTTTGTTTTTTTTGGTTTTTCGAGACAGGGTTTCTCTGTGGCTTTGGAGGCTGTCCTGGAACTAGCTCTTGTAGACCAGGCGAATAGTTGTAGTTTTACCTTTTAAGTTAAGGCAGTAGATTTGTTACATAGTTATGGACACTTACATGAGAGTCAAAGGAAGAGTTGCAGAGGAGAATCAATACAGAAATATGGAGGCAGTGCTATTTAAAAATAATAGGTATATTTGTATTTGAAGAAACACAGTGAGGGTGACATGAAGATCAATCTGTGCTGAATCAGAAGGGGACTCTACCCTAGAGCTGCTCTTCTAAGTAGATGTGATTGAAGTGCCTCAACACTTCTGTTTTACCTTTTCAGTTAATCCACAGAACTGTGTTAGATGGGTGTCAGTGAGGGTCAGGATATAGTTAGGGGATCCTATGTAACACAAACATAAACTACTGAAACCTATCAAGTCATTTTTATGGTGATGTTTTTAAAGATTCCCTGAGTATGGTTATATGTTTTTTAAACCAGAAAATCTGAATTAACGGATTCTGCCTCTGTGCTGGACAATTTCAAGTTCCTTGAAAATGCAGCTGCAGATTTCAGTGATGAAGATGAGGACGAGGACATTGATGCAAGAGAGAAAAGTGTCATTGATACGTCCACAGTGAGTTAGAGAGCTCATTTCAATATTTTTAGGTGCCATAATGCATATGTTAAAAAGCCTGTGATCCTTTACATCTTGAACCCTTATGTTCTTTTCATGAATTTGGGGCAAGTAAAACATTTTTGTTACTAATTTTAATTTTAATATATTTTTAATAAGTAGTCTTTCCCATAGAGTGCTCAGATCTTTTGTTAACTCATTAAACAAGGCAGCATGTCCATAAAACTGCAGAGGTGCTGACCACTGTGTGTTGTAACAGTGCCCTGGTATTGATATTGTGACAGGGGAATGGCAGACTTGGCCTGAGACTTGGGAGAGCTGCTGCACAGACAATTTCTGCAGATTTTTAGAACTCCCCTCCACCCTCAAGTTCTTCAGTTGTTCAGAATTCCTAAGTGTTTTTATTCAGTCCTTATTAAGTTTATTGACTTTCCCATACATTTCCTATAATAAGAAGTGTCTCTAAGTTGTTGTTTCTTCTTTCTCTAGTCTCATCTCTCCTCCTTTCTTCTTTCTTTTATTTCTTTCTCTCCTTTTCCTGCTTTTTCTTTCTCCTTTTTAAAGTAAGAGATGAAGACGTGCTTCACTCTGTTTAGCCAAGCATGGGCATTTTCTCTATGCACTAATCATTTATACCTTTAATCCTAGCCCTATCATAGATATATCTAAATATCAAGTAGTCACTCAAATTTTTCTTCACAAAACAAGTTATAATACTATCTGCTGGCCTAAATGTCTGTTTTGTTTTGTTTTGTTGTTTTTGTCCTAATTATATAAAATTCCTTCCAGTTTTTGGTGTGATGATTGCTTTAAGATACCACGTTCATATCACAATACTTTATTCATAGTCTTATAACAGATAACTGTCATGTTATAAGTTCTTTGTTGGTAATTATACTAATTTAAATATTTTAAAAACCTATAAATTAACTATTAAAAGAATGTCGAATGATCAGATTGAAAATTTCTAACATAGCCTAACCATTTGCTTTTCTCCTTCCTAACCACTTCATTACTTTCTATGTAATAAAATTCATAAGTATTGATAGCATTCCAGTTAGCACAGACCATAGGATATTGTGGGTATACATGAAGGTACATCTGTTACCCACATTTAAATACTGGGGTCAGAAAGCTTTGCTCCCTCATCTTCACCCCATGCTAGGCATTGGACCTAGGGTCTGGTGTTTCCTAGGCAAATGCAACACCCCAGCTCAGGAAGAAAAGGGTATTTAAATGACTGAGTATTTTTGTTAGCAGTTTTGTTAAGTTTTACATTGTGTTTTGTTAATTTTCACATTAGCTGTAGCCTTATAGGTGCATGCCAGAAGGAGCTTTGAAGGCTTTCACTGTATAGAATGGGAAGCATGTCTTGGAAAATGAGTTACATTCTATACAGGGAAATTGATTGAAATTTGTCCTATTAAAATGCTCATAGAGCAAGTAGGTTTTTAAAAACATTGTTTTAAGGTGAGGTGTGGTGATGCACACCTGCAATCCCAGCACTTGGGAGACAGAGGAGAGGATAGCTGAGTTCTTGGCCATCCTTTTCTATCTACACAGCAAGTCTAGGATAGCCAAGATTACACAGAGAGATTCTTTTTTTTTTTAAATAAAAAAGTTTACTAGCTGTCAACTGAGAGAATGTGGTTCTTAGGTACTGTTGGCTACATTAGGGCTGTTAGGTGCATGGTGCCTCTGTGTCTGCACACTGGGTTCTTTCTGCTGACTTCAGGGTTTTCTTGTTCTTCGTGTTGCTGTCTAGAACATTTCCATCTTTTGTTCAGCCTCTTCCTTACCACATCATCATTATATCTCACCTTCATCATCTCAGAATAGTTAGGATCCTGAAATTGTACATCATTAAAATATTATCTCTCCTGTGTAAAAGAAAATGTCTGCAGAAGTATTTGCCGTATTCAAGAACTTTGAGCAAACAACAATGGAATTAAGAACTGTTAGGTGCTGTTTTAGTAATTAAGGAATCCTGATTCCTTTCATACTAGGATTACTAGGAGTCTACTGATTTTTGAAGTTGTCTTTTTTTCTAACCTGCTTGAAACTTAATCTACTCTATAACCCATACTTCTTTTCATCATTTGTTGTTTTTTTTCTGTACTGAGAGATTTTTATTATTTAGCAAGTTTATAATCTATATATCTATACACTTACATATATTCTTCATGAATGCTCATTATATTAAACATGTATCAGCACTTTTTTATGTTTTTAATTGAAATAGAATTATAACACTTTCCCTTTCCTTTTCATCCCTCCACCATCCCCTACCTACTCACCCTCGAAATCCTCCTGTGTCCTCTCTACACACTTAAGTTAATGGCCTCTTTTTTTCCCTTGGTTTTTGGGTTTCTTTCCTTTTGTTTTTGTTGTTTGTTTGTTTGTTTGTTTTTCGAGACAGGGTTTCTCTGTGTAGCTTTGGAGCCTGTCCTGGAACTAGTTCTTGCAGACCAGGCTGGCCTTGAACTCACAGAGATCCGCCTGGCTCTGCCTCCATGGTGCTGGGATTAAAGAGTGCACCACCACTGCCCGGCCTTGCCTCTTTTTCTTTAATTATTATTATTGTTATATATGTATGTATATGTATGTGTGTATGCATATGTATACACTACATATATATACACTACATATATAGCTTGCTGAGTCTGTTGTTGTGTGTGTATGGTTTCAGAGCTGACCATTCTGCATGGAACAACCAGTAAAGGGGCGCCTCCATGGTAGAGGTTCATTTTCCTTCTCCCAGCAGTTATAGTTGCTTGTAGTTCTTGATCTAGGGTTGGAACTCGGTGAAGTCATCCCCTCCCTTCACATTAACATGGCCTTTGACATTGCTACTGTTCAAAATACTCTGAGATATCTAAGACATTTTAGGACATTAAGACATCTGAGGTTCCAGGTACTATTTCTGGATTTCCCCTCTCGCTTTTGTTAGGCAGTTAGAACAAGGACTCTTGATCTTGATTAAGTGGTTTCCTAGCAGAATCAGAGAGACGGAGACATGAAGCCTTTAGGAGTAGCTGGTGCATTTATATATGGAATTGTGAGGGTAGGGTAGCCTGTTGGTGCCACCCTCCCTTCCCCTCTCCCTCCCCTCCCCCTCCCCTCTCCTGCATCTGGAGTTAACAGACAATTGTGAGCCATCATGTGGCTGCTGGGCCTTAACCACAGGTCCTTTGGAAGAGCAGCCAGTGCTCTTAACTGCAGGGCCATCTTTCTAGCTCTGCTGCCATTCTGCAGAGACATTACTTATACCTGAGTTTTGCTGTTCTGTCAAAGCTAGAGCAATTTATCAGGAAATGGTGTGTGAGTAATTAAAAAAACAAACAGAACCATTTTCTGTGGACTCTCTGCTCAGAACCTGCTGTGGTTATCTTATGGGTTTTATTGTTTTTTATTTGTATTTAATGGGTTTGCTAGGTTGAGAAGTACTGTAAGTATGAAAATGTTTCTTGATTTTAGAGTAATACTTAAATAATAGCTAAACAGAGAATTACAGCCTCATTAAATAACTCATGATTTTCCCCATGTAGTTCCTGTATACTCAGATAGTGAAGACTGACATAGGAACACTGGACCTGATCAGCACTCACTATTAGCTTTCCCTTTTAAAACTCTCCTGGGTTTGTGGTTCCAGAGATATTTTTAAATATGTAAAAGTGAATCATAACAATTCAGTATTAAATCTGAGTTATCTCATTCTGCATTATCAATATTTTAGGAGGGGGGAACTGAATCTATGAAGATCTACTGAGCGGGGCACATGGAGTTTGTCTCTCATCCCAGCATTCTGGCGTCAGGAACAGCTCAGTTGCAAGGCCAGCCAGGGCTACATAGTAAGACAGGAAATAAAATAGAACTGTTAGAGAAGTTGAGGGCAGTAGACATAATATTGGAACCCTATGGTGTTTTATGATCCCTAAGACACCCATTTCTGAGTTTGTGTTGTGACATGGGTTTTGTGAGGATGTGTTGTAGTTACATTGAGTTATCATGTATTATGGAAACATTTCATAGTTTATGGAATGTGTCCTGTTTGGGTTAGATCAGAATGTCTGAAGACAGCACAGACTGTATCTAAGGGATGTTAGAGGTAGTTGCTCTCATAACATGAATGTAATCTGTGTAAATTTAAGAACAAATTTTGCTTGTCCATTGAGATCTATAGCTATATATATTAGCTTAAGTATGCTATCATACCTTTGAACAAAGTTTAAATTATTGCTTCAAGATGTATGTTTGTTTCTAAAAAATACAATGTGGTTTGTGCTGAGTTAGCTATTGCAGTTTTTAAATACACAAAATACATTCTGAAGGAAACATTTGCTTTATATTTATATTTATAATTTATCAATTATAAGGGATACTGTCTCTTTTATTTAAGTTAATGCATAGTATTTACTAGTACTTTAGTTTGACATGTTTTCTCTCCTCTGATTAGATTGTTCGGAAAAAAGCATTGCCTGATAGCAGTGAAGACCGAGACACAAAGGAAGCTCTGAAGGAGTTTGACTTCCTGGCCACGTCAGAGGACGGGGACAGTGAGTCTAGAAGTGCAGGCGATGGAACCGACTGGGGTAAGGAAGCACACTGATTCCCGCCAGAGGCCTCAGTGAATGCAGGGACTTCACTTCGTTCTACCAGGACGGCCATGTCTTGGAAACACTTGATTCTGAAACGCCACACATCAGTGATTGTCTGGGTTGTGTGGTTACCTGTAAGGAAGATAGTGTAACTAGTGCCTCCTCTTCCTCCTCCTCCTTTAGTATATAAGAATTACAGCATGAAAAGAATTTGAAATCAAACACGCGCTATTTCGCTTTCTGCTCAGACAAGTAGACCCCTCTAATCTAGATTTTGGTAAAACTTGAACATGAAATAGAGGAATTTAGTTTTCTTATGTCTTTACATTTTCTACGTAAAACAAATTATGTTAGAAAATTATAGTTTCTATGGTCTGTGTAGATTATGCAGGCATATATTGGAGGGTTTTCTTCTGAGTGCTTTAAACCACTAAATATCTGAAACTTCTAACAAGTACTAACACAAATATATGGCGGGAACTTCTATGACAGATTATTGTAGTACTTTAAAGAATTAGGTAAATCCTTCAAAAGTGAGCAATCTGTCAGATATGTGTAAAAGAGAGAAGGAAAAGAAGGGAGGTACCTAATATTTGCAAGTATCTATCGAGAGAATGCAGTGTCATTTATTGTAATACTATTTTAAGTGTAGCTCTGGAAAAGCGTCTTCTTAGTGTTCCTAAAGCATGAACCAGTAATTTTTTTGTTTGAAGTACTTTTTAAGTTTTTTTGTTCATAAAGATCAAGGTTCTATAAACATGATACAAATACTATTTTATAGACTTGTTGAGTGCCATTGAGATGTAGATGTACCACATTCTGAGCTTTCCAATGGCTTTTTGTTCAGACAGCTACTTTAAGTATTAATACAGAGCTGGAACCCAAACTACAATCCCACAGCATGGTATTACTTATATCCAGCAAAATCTTATTTTACCCTTAGGCTACAGATGTTAGAAATACTAATTTAAGTCCCAATTTTTAAAAATACTTGTTCTCTGAAGAAAAGAAATAAAATAATTCTAGAGCTATAAAGGAAAAAATAAGATACATTTTCAACTTCTTGACTTACATTAAAAATTTTCTTTCTTCACACTGTTTGATCATCTTAGTGACTAGGAAGGCTCTTTTGGGTAAGTTCAGGGAACAGGTTTCTTAGTATTTTTAATAATAAAATCCCTGTCTTATAGCTCTTTTTTTTTTCTCTCAGAAACTGTATGTACAATGAAAATTCCTTACAATCACTGTAAAGGGAAAAAAAGAGATTTCTCTGCACACTGTGTGTATCCCAGAATTTGTCAGGTGCCCTCTAACTGTCATGTTTGAGGTATTTGTGGGTACTCCTGTTGGAGTGCTAAGCAAGTCGCTGGTGTAAGACCCTACTTTTTATTTTGTTGGAACCTGTGAGAGGAGGGAGCCGTTGTGTTTCTGAATCCCGCTGTCTTTTCAGTCCTTTGACCTCAGTGAAAATGCTTTCCAAATCTTGTTGGCAGGGTTTGCCCCAGAACAAGTAAATACTACTGTGCTCATGCAGTAGTGATGTTGGCAGTGATAATTTATCAGATTGTTTGTAATGGTCTTTGTGTTTCATTAAATTGCATAACTTTCTACTCATATAGTTACCTTTAGGATCTTACCTTCAGGGACACTGTCAGGGACTGGGTGCTGGTCCACCCCCTACCCCCATGCGCCTTTTTTTTTTTTTTTTTTTAACCAAAATCTAGAATGATTTCATGTAACTACAATAAGGAACATAACAGGTATCTGAAGAGTTTTTTTTTTAAGACATCAAAGTTTGAAAACCAAGGAGAAAGTGCAGAAGGTCTCTCTTCTGCTTTCTGTGCCTGGGCTTATTTCTAGTTACTTAGGTATTTTAGTTGGTAACTTCCCAAGTGCAGGAGCTGGGCTAGCACTTCTGCACTGTGCCTGGGTGGCTAGCACTGTACTGTCAGGGTGGCACTACTCTGTGCCTGGGTGGTTGGCACTGCCCTATGCCAGGGTGGCTAGTACTGCACTGCCAAGGTGAGGTCTTCTGCTGAAAGATTCCATGTTGGCTCAGATAGGACTGTCTTCCATTGTTAGTCTTGTTGCAGGCACACTTGTTACTGGCTGTTCAACAAGGACAGCTGCGTTCTCTCTTGTATAACTTTCTTCTATCCAGCCAAAGAGCCACAGCCCAGTGTAACTTGCTGTACACCAGTATATGTACATTTTAATTCTGTGTGATCTGTAGAAGCTCTCAGTTGATAGTTTGCCAGGAGTTTGGCCTTGAATTTTATCTAAATGTTTGTCTTTATATTTATTTTATTTTACCTGTATGGATTTTTGCCTGCATGTATTTCTGTGTACCATATGCATGCCTGATGCACAGGGAAGTGAGAAGAGGGTATCCAATCCCCTGGAGTTACAGATAGTTGTGTTCTACCCCTGTGGTACTTAAAACCAAGCCCTGGGCCTCTGCAAGAGCAGTCAGTGTTCTTAACCTCTCTGAGCCATTGCTCCAGCCCCTGGCCTTGATTTATTCATTTTTTTAAAAAAGAATTTTATAATTGCCAGGCATGATGGTGCACAACTTTAATCCTAGAGCTGGGGGTGGGGGGGAGGCAGGCAGATTTCTATGAGTTCAAGGCCAGCCTGGGACATATAGCGAGTTCCAGTACAGCTAAGACTACAATAGTGAGTGATGTTATTATGAGACCCTGGACAGTATAAGAAGGCTGATTTTTTTTTTCCCTTTAAAAAACAAAATTACTGCAAGATTTAAGAGCAGCCAATTTATTATGTCTTTGAGGCTACCAGGATGGCTTAGCAAGTAAAAGTGCTTGCTGCCAAGCCTGACCGCCTGAGAGAACCTGCTACTGCAAGTTGTCATCTGACCTCCACATGGGTGCTGTGGCTCTCAGGAGGGACGGACACACACACACACACACACACACACACTAAAATTTTTGAAAGACTTGGTAAAAATTAGCATTTTAAAAAAGATTTATTTTATGTTCATGAGTGCTCTATCTATATGCCTTTATGCCAGAAGAGGGTATCAGATCTCACTAGAGATGGTCATGAGCCACTATGTGGGTGCTGGGAGTTGAACTCAGGACCTCTGGGAAAAGCAGCCAGTGCTCTTGACCACTGAGCTCTCTCTCCAGCCTCCCCAAATTAGAGTTATTTTTAAATTGGTTAGTCCTTCTGGAAGAATACACTGTTCCTACTACTGATAGATGTTATAATCAGAGATCCAACAGACAGTTTTCTAAACTGGATTGAAACTTAAATTGCTTTAAAATAGATTTCTGTTTATTGTGATTTATTTCACATAATTTCAATGTTTATTCAACAAATAGATTAATCAAGTACTTTCCATGTACTGGCTCTTAGAGGTGAAGACTCCTGCTTCTCTGATACTCACTGTTCATAAAAACAGTAGCACCTTCCCAAAGCATAACCTCTTTTCTTTCTTTATTTCTCTTTCTCTTCTTTTGCTTTTGATAACTATCTTTTAAAAAGAGATTTATATCTTAATAATAAAATATAATAATATAAAACAAACTTAACACATCTGCATTGGACAAGATAAACAGAAGGAAAAGAGCCCAAAAGAAGGCATAATGATCATTTGCATACTCAGGAATTCAATAAAAATACTAAACTGGCCCTGTGCTTGCTCTTCAGTCTCTGAGTTCACATGAGCTTTGAGCATGTTGATTTAGAGGGCCTTGTTTTCTTGGTGTCCTACATCTTCTCTGGCTCGTACACTCTACCTCCTCTTCTTCGGGGTTCCGTGAGCTCTGAGGGGAGGGATTTGATGGAGACATCCCATTTAAGGCTGAATGTTCTAAGGACTCTCACCCTCTGCATATTGTCTGGGTGTGGGTCTCTGTATTTGTTCCAGCTGCTGCAGGAGGAAGCTTCTTTGATGATGGCTAATCTGCTTCCCTGGCTGCAGTGGCCTGTCTAAAAAACTTGAAAAGACCATTTAAGATGATTTTGTGTAGTCTTTTAATAATAATCTTCTATCACTGTATACATATGATATGAATATTGGAAATAATTATAACACGATTGGACTTAAATATCTAGGTTTATTTTTTTCTGTCTTTTTCAAGGGAAACGTTTTGTCAATTAGAAAATTGAATTGACCTTTGTTAGGTGTTACATCTTGTATGTCACCTATTTGAATATAAAAATGGCTTTTTTGGTGAGTGATATTATGAAGAAAACCATTGTGTCTCTCAGACATTGATTTAGAATGTTTGATATTTCATTGAAGAAAGACTGTTTGTTTCACTCTGTTTAGAAAAGGAAGACCAGTGTCTGGTGCCTGAAGCCTGGAATGTGGACCAGGGAGTAATTACCAAACTGAAGGAGCAATACAAAAAGGAGAGAAAGGGGAAGAAAGGGGTGAAGAGTAAGTGGAAAACATTGTGTCTATAAACTACAAATTCTGCATCTTTACATCTCCCAAGGTTTTTTTTTTTTTTTTTTTTTTTTTTTTTTTTCCCAATGTTTTCCTAAAATTACTTACTCTTTTCATTTCTCCTCCTGACCACTTTTCTTTTCACCATCTCTCAGGGGTTGGAATTAGTGGCAGCTATAACTATGAACTGAGCAAAAATCATATGTGAATATGGAGTTTTAACAAAAATATAAAACCTTGTAACATAGAGATGAGTTGACTTTTGAAGGTCTGTGTGCTCAGTCACAAGAATGACTTCCAGTGGCAATTTATAAATATGATTTAAACTTGATTTGTTGACCCTCCACCAAAGTTACTTTCAGATTATGAGAAAAAAAGAAATTAATTTCTACCCCTGAATACTCTGTGTGTTCACAACATGAAATTCATTTGCTTTCGTCTCTATATGCTGTACAGGGCACACAGTCAAACATATAATTTAAATGATTCTGTTTTCTAATATAAATGTTTTGGCCAGCTTAATTAATGGCAGTGTTACCAATTGCCTTTTTTCCCTCTTTTCAATAAAATGTATGCAACATCAGAAGCAGAATCCAAAATTATATTTGTAGCCTTGTGGATTATATAACTTATCATGCAAATGATAAGCTTAGCAATAGATCTAGTTAAGTATGTCAAATGGTAAAATAAATCCTGCCAAAGCCTTGATTAAAACAACATTCAACAGCGTTTTAGGGGCTGGGGATGTAGTTCAGTTGGTGGAGTGTTTCCCTAGAATGCATGCACAAAGCCTTGGCCTCATCACTGGAACTTGGTAAACTGGGTGTGGTGACACATATCTGTAATCCCATCACTCTGTAGGTAGAGACAGGAGGACCAGGAGTTCAAGGTTTTATTTAACTATGTAAGGAGTTAGGGACCATCCCAAGCTACATGAGACATCTCAAAAGAACAAAACAAAGCATCTTTGTGGGAGAAGAAGATTAAACTACCTTCTTGTGCTTCTTTCTGCTCATTGACATGATAAACATAATTTTTCCCTTTCATGGCAACAGGAATTTTATCCTCTGAGATATGAAAATAGTACAAAATGAGATTAAAATCTAAATTTAAAGAGAAATGGATTATAAATTACAAAATGCTGGAAGTATTCTCTCATTGCTTTTTAATTGTGGTAAAACATGAAGACCAGGCATCCTGGCGGACATTGTTTTACAGTCTGGTAGTTATTGTTAAAACAGTTAAATACTTATTGAAAATTTTAGAATTTTTAAATTCTTAATTCAATGAAAAGTCTATTGTAGATGTTAGCATAGTTTTAACAACTACTGAGAGATGAGATCATTTAGTGCTACCTCAAAATAGATAAAAATCAGAATGAGAAAGGTTAACATTAAAGCAAAACTATTTAATCCCTTTATTCAAATATGCTAAAAAACTTTAAACTTAAAATATATATTGACACATGAATTTCTATGGCTTTTAGAACCATTCTCAAGCTAGTTAAACTAAAATGTTGAAGATAATTTGTATATCGTACATTAGAAATTATTTCCAGACTAAAAACCAATGTCGATGTATTTTTTGGGCATATTATGTTATAAAATTAGTATGTTGGGATGTAAAGATTTTTTAATTAGAAAGGTAGCCAAGACTTCTGTGGAACTCATCTCCTCTTACATTGTGATTAGAGTTTAGCCTTTCAGATCTAAACCTGCACCATTTGACTGGAATAGTATTCCTACTAGCAGAAGCAATTGAGTTCCCTGCTCCTGGGGATTGATAACTATATTTAAATATATAGCACATGGGCTTTTTAAATGAAGAAGTGTTAACTCTCTGGGGAGAAATGTGAATGATTTGCACTGACGATAAGGAGTGTAGACTAAGGCCAGCACATTTTATTTATTCTTTTCACTTGTTATTTGGTTAAAACAGTAATATGAGGACAAGTGAAGACCTGTGATAAAGAGGAAAATGAAGTAAAGCTTTGAATTGGTATAAGAAACATTAATTTATAAGCCACCAAAATATACTTTTTAATTGAGCTGTTACCCACTGTAAACTTCTTGTTGTTTTTAATTGGTCTACTGTAAGTATATCCAGTCAAATTGTGTACTCCAGTCACATTATCTTTAATTTTCTAGGAATTAGTTAAAATAGCTTAGAAATAGTTGTATTCTTTGCTATGGTATGTATAGGAAATACCATAACGGACTATGGGTAAGATTTTCCCATTCTTAATTAAACTTGTAACAGGAAAAACTACCGAAGATCTGTTTCAGCCTCTATCCTATATAAAACAGTCAAAACAGGGATGTGGGAGAATGAAGAATCAAAGCCCAGGTAAGTGACAATAGGGCATGAGACTTCACTTTGGGTTCCATAGCTGCAGGATGTAAGGCAATGAATGTAACTTAATTTAAACAAGCAGAGACGTTATTTTTCAATTGAGTTTACATTTGGTTCATGATCTGTGATTGTCTTCATTTAGACCAATAGTCATTGGGTTCATTGTAGATGAATATGACTTTTAATGATACATATTGGACATGGCATTCTTTTTCATGTAGTGATTCCATTAACTTAATTTATAAAACATGTATTTAAATATCATTTTTTTCCAGAAATGATAAACTCTTAAACTTTGAAAACCTCGAAAATAACTACTTCTTATTGATCACTCTAGTAGGACATTTTAAAGGTGAATGTTGGCAGATGTGAAAAAGTTTATTGTACAGTTTTTATGAAATGAGTGATTCTGTTTTCTCTTTTGTTTTTTCTCCTCTGCGCCCCCCCCTTTTTTTTTTTTGGCTAGGGCCCAACAGGTCAAAACTACAAGACATGCTTGCTAATTTGAGAGATGTAGATGAACTTCCTTCATTGCAGCCGTCTGTTGGCTCCCCTTCCAGACCCAGCAGCTCTAGGCTCCCTGAGCAAGAGATCAGGAGGGCAGATGAAGGTGAGCACCTGGACCTGTGGCTGGTACAGGCACCTTAGAGAGCACCCAGCCCGCACACACTGCTTTCTTAAGTCAGTGGGGATGACTCCAGCTTCGGGTGAGAGGCATAAATTTTAGAACTGCTCTTAGTTTCTGCTTTGGAATATGCCCTAGCTCCATTGACAAGAGTGGTAACAGGCTTATTCAGTTCCAGCCTTGAGAAAATTGAGTCTAAAATTGGTACTAAATGTTCACTGTGAAAGTCAGCATACTTAATTTATCATTGATTTTAAAAATGAAGGAACACCAGATATGGTGATACATGCTTTAATCCTAGCACTCAGAGGCAGAGGAAACCAGTTCTCTGAGAGTTTGAAGCCAACCTGTCTCCAGAGCAAGTTCCAGAGCAGTCAAAGGTGGCATAGTGAGACCCTATCTCAAAGCAACAGCAAAATGGAGGGAAAGTTACCTGGTTTCTTGCTTCCCATGTTTCCATTGCCTTTCAAAAGTCCTTATCCACTTGCATATTTTTTTAAACATAATTACAGCCATTATGTAGAATAGCTCTGTTTTGTTTTATGTTTAACATAAAATCATATGTTGATAATTTTTCAAGCTCAGCTTTAATGCTACATATTACACTTGGTGATAGAGCATGTTCCTATCACACAGAGCTCAGTTTTAACTCCTGCACTAGGGTAGAGGAGTGAGTGAAGGAGACAGATGGTGTCCCCTTGATGTCATATTAGAATTCCAGTTAGTTTTTTAAAAGCTCTTTAAGGGCATCAGTATTTAGTTACCCAAAGCACTGTAACCTGTTTCTTAACTTCTGAGGCTAAAGAGAACAAGATGCCTACCTTCTTAGAGACATGATGTGCCTGTTGCTTTCTCTGACTACTGACTAGACCTTCTTAGACTATTAGTTAGTACTAACCCATGCTGTGGCCAGTCTCAGGAGACTTACTGTTTCAGGACAAGCGAATTTATAGAAGTGGGCTGGGCAATGGTGGTGTACAGCTTTAAACCCAGAACTCAGGAGGTAGAGGCAGGTGGATCTCAGTAAGTTCAAGGCCAGCCTGGTCTACAGAGTGTAGAGGCAGGTGGATCTCAGTGTCTACAGAGTGTAGAGGCAGGGGGATCTCAGTAAGTTCAAGGCCAGCCTGGTCTACAGAGTGAGTTCCAGGACAGCCAGGACTGTTACCTAGAGAAACTCTGTCTCAAAAAAAAAAACAAATATTTGAGAGAGAAAGAGAGAAGGGATGAGAGAGAGAGAGAGAGAGAGAGAGAGAGAGAGAGAGAGAGAGAGATTAGAAATGAAAAACAGAATAAACTAAAGACAACTGCTGAATACCTAGTCTCCCAGGCACACATGAAGTATTTGATATTTTGGCCTGAAAATTACTGTTTGGACAGTTTCCACTATGCAAACACTAGGGTTCTTTGAACCCTTCAAATGACATGCAGCATTTAGGTGAGGCTCATTTTTATTAATGCTACTCTTGTGTGTATGTGGTTTGATAGTGGTTTAATTTATATTCTATTTTATTCTACAGTAACTGTCTTTTTCCTGATGAAGATTTTGAGTTTCTGTTACTACTACTAGGTTTTTGTCACCATTTATCCCTGACTAGCTTGAGCTGGTTAAATAGACCAGGCTGGCCTTGAGGTTCCTCTGCCTGTGCCTCCAGAGTGCTGGGACTAAAGGTGTGCACCACCACACCCAGACACCACTACTGTTTTAAGGCCAGCTATTAAAAGCAAGCAACTATTATTTAATGTCTTCAACAAGTACCTATTATTAAACATGATTAACTGTAGCACTGAAAAACAACTTTTAAGTCTGTTGTGTACTGGATATAATTAACTCACTTCTTTGTTTAAAAATAACATCTCTTTAGCAAATCTTTTGAATTGTTAAATTCATCTTAAATATTTGTAGTCAGTGAAGCAGCCTCTGGAAAAGGCAAGCTCTAGTGCATTTTTGGAATAGTTGTTGAAAGGGTTGAAGTGCTGTGTTCAGAGTTACAAAGTAGGAATGTTCAAGTTGATTACACAGGGAAGTCCATCTCAGAGCACAGTTGGCAGATATTAAAGTTCTGAAATGTCTTTAAATGAAGTAAAGCATGTGCACAGATGGGAACAGCTCATTAAATCATCACACATTAGAATTAGCCACTGACTGTTCATGCCATCTCCCCAGATCAAGAGGCAGCATTACCTGTGTGGCCTCTTTAACCACTGGCCACTTGACTCACTCTCACAGGTAATTCTGACTTCTAATAGTATATAATAATTTTCTCAAGCAGGCACATTGTACAGTTTTCATTCTGAAATGTTAATAGAATTGATCAGTTTTACCTTTTGTTTTGTTTTGTTTTTGTTTGTTTGTTTTCCGAGATAGGGTTTCTCTGTAGATTTGGAGCCTGTCCTGGAACTCACCTTGAAATCACAGAGATCCACCTACCTCTGCCTCCCGAGTGCTGGGATTAAAGACTTGCGCCACCACCACCTGTCTCCGTTTTATGTTCAGTGGGAGTGTTATTGTTCAACATATAGCAAGAACGACTTGTTAATATACTTCATAATTGATAGATGTTATTTGAGTAATTAGCATGAAATATCAAATAGAAAGGAAATTTACTTTCTTTTAGTCATACCATTTTCTCTGTAATGGTAAAGGAAAGGACAATAAATTATTAGATTTGTTTCTGCTTTAGTTTTCTAAGTAGATGATGCTGTTAGGCTAATCTGTGAAAAGCTGTCTTTAAGATTTTTCTGCTCATGGAATTACACTGTTTACAGAATTGCCTAGCAGTAATGTAACATAGGCACATAGCCCCTCAGGCCTGTAATCCCAGCACTTAGGAAGCTGAGGCCAGAGAATTGTCTTCATGCTGGACCTGCCTAGGCTCCAAAGACAAAAATAGAACAAACAAAAGGGTACATGTTCTCTTATCAGAAATGTAATGAAAGAAGTGGGGACTGGTTGTGAAGTATTGAGATGTGTAATTTGGGCTTTGTCTCCTCCAGTGGAAGCCCTGACATTTCCTCCTTCTTCTGGGAAGTCGTTTATCATGGCGGCAGATGAAGCCCTTGAGAGTGAACTGGGGCTTGGAGAGTTAGCAGGCCTTACAGTAGCCAATGAAGCAGACTCACTGGCTTATGATGTAAGTAGCAGTTTTATTTTCTATGCCATTACTGTGTCTGAAAATTAACAGTTAAGTTTATAGAAAAAGGTGGCAGAGGTAAAAACTTTTTACAAGTATGGATCTTGGTTTAGTTTTAATTTCAAACTTTGCAAAGATGGATATAAACATTATCTGACATTTTCTAAATAACCTATACATTAAAGTTAGAGGCTTTGTCTAGATCCATGGGTCAGTATATGCTAATATGCATTGGTTTTAGGTAGGGAAAGGAATTCTTTCCCATTGCAAAGTGTGAGCTGTGTTTTGGTTTAGGCACCTGCAATAAGTTGATGTCTGTCTTACCAGTAGCATTTTTCCTGCCTCTTTAGTGCATTTTCCAGTGTGGGCTCCCCTGGGTAGCCAGCTTTTCTTCACAGCTGTATCTTCACTTCTTTCTCCATATCCTTACAATACAGGTTGTCAAATTACCTATTTCCTATCATATGCTTTTGTCCTCTCTGCCTAAACCATGGAGACTTTATTCAGTAGCGAATGTAAATTAGACTTTGTTCTAATGAAAACTCACTTTTTCCAGTTCAAGAAAAATCAATGGTATGTGTTCATCTAATTTCCAGAGGTAGTTGTATGTTTTATTAAACATACCAGTTATCTACTGGTATATTGTTTAGAAGTACACAATGAACCAGGCAGTGGTGGCGCACGCCTTTAATCCCAGCACTCAGGAGGCAGAGGCAGGCAGATCTCTGTGAGTTCGAGACTAGCCTGGTCTACAAGAGCTAGTTCCAGGCCAGCCTCCACAGCCACAGAGAAACCCTGTCTCGAAAAACAAACAAACAAACAAAAAAAGAAGTTCAGAATGAGCTAATAGCATTTGGGGTGGTTCTTTGTCTCATAGTCATTTTTAAACCTTGCAGGTTCTTTGTGAATATATATTTTGATTTCCAATTTTGTGGAATTTCTGTGTGAGCACATGTGTGTCTCTCTGTATGTGTTTATTGTGCTTTTCCTTTGGTTCTTTTTACTCTGTTTTGTTCTATCCCATTTATTTTATCTTACATTATTATTATTATTTAAATTTCTGTTTTCTAGTGAGAGAGAAAGGGTGGAGATTCAGTTAGGGAGGGAGGTATGGAGGATCTGGGAGGAACCGGGGGAGAGAAACTGTAATCAAAATGTATTGTATGAAAAGAATCTGTCTGTCTATTTTTTATATTCCAATCCCAGTTCCCCTTTGTTCTCTATTCCGGCTCTCCCCTTCTTGCCCCCATCCCATCTTCCATCCTAGAGAGGGTAAGGCCTCCCCTAAGATGTCAACTAAGTCTGTCCCATCACCTCATTGAGATAGGACCAAGGCACCCCTCCCCATGTCTAGGCTGAGCCAAGGTATCTCTCCATAGAGAATGTGCTCCACAAAGTCAGTTTATGCATTATAGTTAGATCTTGGTCCCACTGCCAGTGGCTTCATATACTGCTCAAGCCATACCATTGCCATTAAGGGGTCCTAGTTCAGACAGTGCAGAGTCAGTGATCTCTCACTAGCTCTGGGTAGCTGTTTCTGTGGGTTTCTCCATCATTGTCTTGACTCCTTTTATCACTCTTCTTTCACTTTAATTGTACTCCTGGAGGTTGGCCCAATGGTTAGTTATAGATCTCATTTGCTTCCATCTGGGAAAAAATATTTTTAATAAAATAGAAATAGAAAACTATCATCTTTTAATAGCTCCACATTCAGAGTTTGGGCTGTACAGACTGGCTCGTCTGTGTCATACTGATTGCAGTAAAGATACTGGCATTGGTATGTTCTCACTTGAGGACTTGATGTGGAGAAGACCAAGCACTGTCAGAGTTGTTGGCAGGCTGTGTGGTTCATCGATGGTCATTGGCTGAAGACTTTAGTGTTGTATCACATGGTCCCTTGCATGGTATCTTCATGGCATCTAGTGTTCACACTCGAGTACATGTGTAAAGAGAAATGCAGTAGCTCCATGATTACCTTGGATTCTAAATCTTTTCATTAGTCTCCCAAGTTCTGGGATTGCAGGAGTGTCACAGCCATTTTAACATTTTCTGTTTCAAGTATATAAATCTCGTTTCCATCATCTCAGTGAAGAAAGAATTAAAGTCTCAAAACATGTTAAAAAAATGATTGTATTTTAAATTGACAAACTGTCTTAAGATTTCTATTGCTGAGTTGAAACACCATGATCAAAAGAAACTTCGGTTGAACAGGTTTTATTTCCGCTTACAGTTGCATGTCACAGTCTGTCATTGCAGGAAGTCAGGGCAGGAACCTGAAAATGGGCCAAAGCAGAGACAGTGGAGGAATGCTGATAGTGGCTTGATCAGTCTGTTCTCTCTCTCTCTCTCTCTCTCTCTCTCTCTCTCTCTCTCTCTCTCTTAATTTTTGTTTTATTAGTTCAAATTAGGAACAAGCTTGCTTCAGACGTCCCTTCTCCCTTCCCACCTGCCCCTAGCCATCCCCCCTCCACTTCCCAGGCAGGGTAAGGCTCTCAAAAGGGGATCCCCAAAGTCTACCACATCATCCTGGGCCAGGCCTAGGCCCTTCCCCATGTGTCCAGGTCAAGAGAACATCCTTCATATGGGATGGGCTCTCAAAATCCTTTCTTTTTTTTTTTTTTAAGACCTTACATATTTAATACAGTGCGTTAGCCCTGTACAAATGGAAAAAAATTAAGTTCAACATTTCTAGAACAATATGGGTGTTAATTTTTGTACAATGCCAACTGTTTTCTTAAAGCCCAGGACCACCCACCTAGGGGTGGCATTTGCCCACAGTGAGCCAGGCTTTCCCACATCAATTACCCATCAAGAAAACGCACCTCAGCCTTGCCCATAGGCCCGTCTGGTGGGAGCATTTTTTCCCGTTGAGATTTGCTCTTCCCAAATGGCTCTAGCTGGTTGACACAGTTGACATAAGACTAGCCAGGACACAGGCTTAAAGGGAAAAAAAGAAAAACAAAACAACAACAAAACCCAGTGCTTTGATCCAAATTACATTTTCTGTCTACAGTTTGAGTTGATTTGCTTGATTTTGAAAATACTCTAGTAATTGTTCAAGCTTTCTGTCGCTGTGAAGTAATAGCGTGAAACAAGTGACCTGTTAGGAAGGAAGGCTTGTTTGTGTTTCAGTCCATGTTGGTTGTAAGTAACCTGTTAGGAAGGAAGGCTTAGAACCTGTTAGATAAGAAGGCTTGCTTGTGTTTCAGTCCATGTTGGTAGGGCCAGTCACGGTGAGGTACAAGATTCAGAAGTCACTTGCTTCATGGTGTTCAGGAAAGCAGGAGAGGAGAGACCTGGGCTTCTGCTTCTCCTAAGGGAGACCTTTCAGTGATGTCACTGTCGTATCTAGGCTGCATCTGCTAAAGACTCCACCTCCTGGGAGTGCCACAGGCTGGTGACCAAGCCTTCATGCACATTCAGGGTCGAAACTGGCAATAGTAGAGATTCATTTGGGATCATCACTTACCTACAGTTTAGCTTGAGTTATGTTAACTGTTCTCATATTCCACATTTTTTATTTCTTCAATGAAAACTGCCACATGTTGCTAATTTTGCTAATTAGTTTTGTTGTTTGCTTTAAAAATATATTATTTTAATTGACGTGAGGGAGGAGCGATAATATGAACAAAGGAGACAAGACCATGATGGGGAAACCCACAGAATCAGCTGACGCAAGCTAGTGAGAGATGACTGACAAATAGGGAACCTGCATAAGACTGAACTAGACTCCTTAATATAGGTGACAATAGTGTGACTGGGACAACATATGAGGCTACTGGCAGTGGGTCCAAGATCTAACTCTAATGCACAAACTGACTTAGTGGAGCCCATTCTATATGGAGAGATACCTTGTCCAGCCTAGACACAGGGGTGTGGGGGTGGAGAGGTGCCTTGGTCCTGTCTCAATGAGATGATGGGACAAACTTAGTAGACTGCCTAAGGGGAGGCCTTACCCTCTCCATGGAGCAGATGGGAAGTGTGTGGGGAGGGGGAGGAGAGGAGAGGGGGAACTGGGATTGGAATATAAAAAATAAATTAACAAAAAAATTTAAAAAATATTGTTTTGAGAATTGTATAGTGTAATAGTTTATTAGCAAATCAGCTATCGCAACTTGATGTTTTATTTCTTTAATAGATAGCAAATAATAAAGATGCTTTGAGGAAGACGTGGAACCCCAAGTTTACGTTAAGAAGTCACTTTGATGGCATCCGTGCCCTTGCTTTCCACCCCATCGAGCCCGTTTTAATAACAGCGTCAGAGGACCATACACTGAAAATGTGGAATCTGCAGAAAACAGCCCCAGCCAAAAAGTGAGAATATTCTACTTTTACTCTTTTTAAGGTTTAGTTAAATTATTTATCAACAGGGAAAGACATATTTTAAGATAATTTTCTATTATAGTTCCCAAGTATCTCTCTGGTCCTTTATTCTTTATCATGTCATAGGTGAGTCCTCCAGACAGTCTAAGGGCTTTTATCTGATGGTTCCCAGGGGTTTGTGACTGGTGATTACAGTCCTTATATTATGCATAAGGGTTTTAAGTGGCTGTTTCATTTATAAGTGGGACTTCTTGCCTGTAATGAAGATCCCTGTTAATGTAAAGAGATATAAGTAGAAACACATAGACTCACCAAACCTCTGCTCTATTATTTACAAAGTTTGGATTTACAAGGTGAAAGAAGTGGTTAGGAACTTCTCTATGCCCTTAGCTTTTTCTCTGACAAGTTTTCATACTAACTAGTTTGTCTGAACTGAGGGATACTGTTTTCTTTGATTAGTTATTCGTTCTTAGTTTGGTGTATAAATGCCAGCAGGCACGCTGTCCTATAAACTGTTTCCTTAGTTCCCAAGCTAGAGTAGGTCTATTTGATGAGGCCTTTCTAGAGCTCACCCTCCATGAATCCATTCCCTTCATCCAAACCAGCCTCCATCAGCCAGGATCATTTCACTATGTGAGGCATAAGAGTACAACTAAGAAGAGTACAACAGACTGTAATACAGGGCACCACAGACGTTGTCCTGCCTGTAGAAGAGATTTCTGCTGCCCAGGTTAAAAGGCACCAGTAGCATCAGTGCCGTGAGTCACACAGGACAGGCAAAGTGCTGGATGCAGTGTGAGCAGAATTCAGATCAGGTCAGCAGAGGGGGTATTCCCTTTGATGTGCTGTACCTTTGCCTTTCCATTTCTCAGGTCACAGTGTGCTAGTTCTGGTTCCAGCTCAGTCACATGGAGCTAAATGTAAATGTCCAATTGAGGAAATAGCAGAAACAAATTAGCAAAATATCTACACATGCACATAATAGTACCCTAGTTATCTTTGAGCTGACTTGAGAAATGATAATGTGTATCTACAAATTCCTGCAACATGATGTAGAAAGTGGTGAGTTCTTGCCTTCAGCCAGTGTCTGTGATGAATCCTTGTCTGTTAGGTAACAGACACGCAGAGTCCTGATTTTAGTAATGAATTGATGGCTTGGGCAATTTCCACAGAATCAAGGATAGATATATTAGCCTTCATGAAAACACAGGGAAGTTAAAGTACCGCTTGCTGAAATCCTGCTGTGTATAGTTCTGGTCTTAACTTTTTTATTATATTTAGATTCTCATTCATGTTGAATATTTGGTACTATCTAGATTTCATTTTATTTTAAATATAGGATAATTTGAAGTTCTGAAATAATAAAAACTTCCCTGCATTAGTTAATAAGTGATATAACTGGAAATCATGTTCTGAAAATTACCCTTCACGGTCCTTGTTTTCTCTCATGAATGATGTTCTCTCCCATTATTGGACAAATTCTAACAGTGTGAAGAGTCTGTAACATTAGTGGAGGAATTATAACAGTGTGAGGAGTTCTGTGTGATATTAGTGGAGGAATTGTAACAGTGTGCGAAGTATGTGTAACATTAGTAGATGAATTGTAACAGTGTGAGGAGTCTGTGTAACATTAATGGAGGAATTGTAGCACACTGTGTGATATTAGTGGAGGAATTATAACAGTGTGAGGAGTCTGTGTGGTATTAGTGGAGGAATTGTAGCAGTGTGAGGAGTCTTTGTAACTTTAGTGGATCAATTGTAAGGAGTCTGTTTAACAAGGTACCACTGCTAAAGTGGGAGTTTGCCCATATTTTGAAGATATAATTGGGATTAAATGAGCCTCTGTATCCTGAGGCTGAAGATGTTATTACCATGGAGACCACGGACCACATACAACTTAGTTATGCTGTTCACTGCTGAAATTTGGCATGCTTAAAGTCATCTTCTTTCTCTGGTTTAGGAGTACGTCTCTTGATGTGGAGCCTATCTATACGTTCCGAGCTCATAAGTAAGTATGTGGTTTTTCTTTATATTAAACCAGCATCTTTTTAACACAGTTTGATTGATATTATACATTCTTTCCCTTACATATTTTAATATAATTTTTCTATTTAGTAGTGGTGGGGCTTTTTTTTTTTTTTTTGTAAATGTAAAAGAACCTGGCAGGTAATATAAATACCAGGTTGAGTTCCTGGTATGCATATGTATTATAAATGGAAGTCAAGGTATTTAGGTTTAAGTACTAGCAATGCTAGCACTGGGTACTTGCTGCTCCTCCAGAAAACTGGAGTTCAGTTCCTAGCAGCCATGTGGAGTGGTTCCCAACATCTTGTAACTCCTGTGATCCAACACCACTCTTCTGGCTTCTGTGAGCACCTGTGCAGAGGTGACATACAACCACATGTACAAATAAAACATTAAAATAATTTTTAATAGGATTCTCACATAGTTTCTTCCTTAAACATAACCTACATAAAAAGTATTCAAAGTGTGGGGATGTAGCTTAAAGGTAGAAGGTTTGTCCCTTGTATATGAGGCCCTGGATTTCCTCCTGAGTATTGTATGCTCACACACATGCCACTTAACTTGCATTTTTAACCAAGAATTGTTTATAGTAATTACATATTTTCTTTTTTCCACTTATGTATAAGAGACATGTTTTCTCTCAATTTGTTACAGACATTGAAATGCTTTTTATGTAATGGGTGAGAAAGTAAATATTTTTCAGGCTTAGGAGACCATATACTCTTGGTGAACTTTTTTGTCCTCTTTTGGCTTTTGTTATGGATTGAACTAAGGGTCTTAATTCATGTAACATATTCTTGGTTTTGTTGTTGCTGTGTGTGCCGCTATTTTAACCTTTAAAAATGTAGAAAGCATTCATAGCCTGAACTACTAGATGAATTTGGCTTCAAGGCCATAATTTACCAGCCTTTGGTTTGGCAAAGAAAGAAAATGAGTAGTAGTACTTCATTAATGTGGTTTTTTGTTGTTGTTTTGTTTTTTTCTTTCTTTCTTTCTTTCTTTCTTTCTTTCTTTCTTTCTTTCTTTCTTTCTTTCTTTCTTTCTTTCTTTCTTTCTTTCTTTCCCAAGACAGGGTTTCTCTGTGTAGCTTTGGAGCCTATCCTGGAACTAGGCTGGCCTTGAACTCACAGAGATCCTCTTGCCTCTGCCTCCTGAGTGCTGAGATTAAAGGCATGTGCCACCAACACCTGACTCATTAATGTTTTTAATCATTGTTAAAAGCTAGTAAGTAGAAAGGCAGTTGAGTAATTAGAGGTTCTAAGTCTTAACAAGTTACATTGTAGAACTGACATTTGAGAATAGCAGATTACTTGACACCTATTGATCTATTTGATGTCCCAGAGGTCCGGTGCTGTGTGTAGTGATGAGCAGCAATGGTGAGCAGTGTTACAGTGGTGGTACAGATGGGCTGATTCAGGGCTGGAACACCACCAATCCCAACATCGATCCCTATGATTCTTATGGTATGTGCTTCACTGAAGTTCTGAAAAGATGTTGTCTTCTTACATTATTTTCCTAGTATACATTAAGGGTAAAATTATTTACTGGTATTTAAGAGACCAGTAAAGAGAAGTGTATCTTTATGTCATTCAGAAGGATTCCTGTACATAACAGGAATCAGCAGGATACTTAATGCTAAAGGTAAAAACATGATGTCCTTGGGAAGAGAGTTCATCTCTGTAGTCTTATTAGACAGAAATTCTGGTTTGGTTGACGCTTGCTTTCTTGATGTTAGACATCTGTCTGGTACTTCAAACTTTGCAACTCATCTGTAGTCATATTTCATTATTATTTTCGACAAACAACTTTGAAGGTAAATGAATGGTGACATCATTTCTTTGCTCAGTTATTGGAGGGAAATGGGAGAAGCTAATTAATTTTAAAGTATGCCTCCAAAATATTTATTATAAAGGGTCCTAAAAAAAGTTAAGGATTGGCCTCTCAGCTAGGTTTAGTGGTATAAGCCTGTAATCCCTAAACTTGCCAGGGAGAAGCAGGAGAATTGCTGTAAATTTAAACTGGCCCGGTCTATTTAATGAGTCTCAGACCAGTCTGAGTTTTAGAATAAATCCAGGCTGTCTGTCTGTCCTCCCTCCACCCTCAACACACACACACACACACACACACACACACACACACACACACACACACACACACACACACACACACACACACACGCATGCACACAGATGCTTTGGTTTTAAGAGCAGTGTTATGGCATGAATTCATATTATACTGTGTTTCTAGATGTTGCTATAAATTCCCTTGTAAAACTATTTAGAAATGGGCTGCTTTAAGTTTGAAGTTAATACAGAATGGTTTAATATGTCATGTTTGCCACTAAAGCATTGTAATGTTACTACCAAACTAAACACAGAGTCAGCAAACAAAAATCTCTCCTTACATTTATTTAATAAACGTTAAAATAAAGCTTTCTTAAGAAATCAGACTTGTGGTTCTTAATTCTAATTTAGAATGTTCAAGATCTGTATTTCCAAAACTGCTTGTAATTACGGCAGCATTTCAGAAGATACTGAAACTAGAAGACTGCGTTACACTGTGTCTGGGTGCTCTGTCTTATGTTTTACAGTGGATCCTAAATGCCTTGACAATTTTTCTTTCTGGTTTTGCATGTGCTCGTTTTCCACAGATCCTTCTGTTCTGAGAGGCCCTCTGCTGGGCCACACAGATGCTGTGTGGGGGCTGGCCTACAGCGCGGCACACCAGCGCTTGTTGTCCTGCTCAGCAGATGGCACTTTACGTTTATGGAATACAACCGAGGTTGCTCCGGCACTGAGTGTGTTTAATGATAACCAAGGTATAGTCTTTAAAGTTAAACACTTCCAGATCTTTTATTAAACATTCTACTCTGAAAAAGCAAGCAAATAAATGATTCTATAAACTCTTGAGTGTATAAATTTTAAGGCTTTTTTTTTTTTTTTTTTTTTTTTAACGCACCAACATTGTTGCTTAACATTTCAGTGTATGTATAATTCTTAAAAACAGCATTTGAGGGGCTGGAGAGATGGCTCAGTGGTCAGGAGCACATACTATTCTTCCTGAGGACCTGAGTTCAGTTCCCAATGCCCACATCAGGTGGCTCACAGCTGCCTTAACCCCAGCTCCAGGGTGTCTCACACCTCTGACCTCAGTGACCTTCATTCATGTGCACATACCACACAAACATACACACACAATTGAAATAATAAAAAAACTCAGCATTTGATGAGAAGATGGGGGTTTACATTTTAAAAAGTGAGACGTAATTTATTTTCCTTGAAGATTGAGGGCATCAAGGATGTGTTCTGATGCGTGAGGTGAACTGGTGCAGTCCTGGCGCTGGTATCAGTCTGGAGTGGGACCATCTCTTCCCTTCCCTGGGCTGCTTTGTGACCTTAGTCAGTCCCTGTTACATATCCCAGCTAGCGGCACCTGTTGTCAAGATCACTTTCATCATAGATTAGTTTTGTCTATTCTCACCTATAATAAAATAGCAGTTTAGGATGTTATCTCTGTGCCTGGCTTTTATTCTACTGTAACGTTTGTGCAGTTCAGTGTCAGTTGATTTCCCTTTATTATGTGAGAGTATTGTATTAAGCTATGGTCTGTCTATTCATGTATCTCCTGATAGACACCGAGGCTGTTATGAGCAAAATTGTTATAAAAAGTCATAATTTCCACGACCTATTCATTTATCTGGTAGTATTTACTGTTGTTCCAGTGTGGGCCTATTAGGAATAATTTATTATGAAGGTTCATAAATTTTCATCATGGGTAGTAGAGACCTTTCAGTAGACTTGTTGGGTTTTAGGGTGGGTGTTTTGTTGTTAAGTGAAATGACCAACATTGTTCCCAGAGTGCTCATGGCACTTTATAACCTGGGCTGCAGCCTGTGTGAGGTCAGTTTGCTCTGCATCCTCACTCAGTCTTGATGTTGTCACTCTGGTTCCCTTCTGTTTCAGTGTTTAATTCTTTGACAGCATATTTGGTTGAGTACCATTTCTTGCTTTTCATTGACTATTCCTAGAACTTCTGCTGTACAGTTTTGAATCATTACCTTGCTTTGGTTAGGTGTTGACCCAAATGAAACATTATTTTATTTTTATATTTATCATTCTGTTTGTTTGTTTTCTTGTGACAGTGCCTCACTATGTAGCTCTGGTTCACCTTGAATTCATTGCCCAGGCAGACCTCAAATTCACAATCCTTGGGCTTCCACTTCCAAGTGCTTGGATTTAAGGAGTATGCTACCACACTGGCTTTATCATTCTGTTTTTGGTATAAATGAGTTCCAAGTTTGTCCCCTGATGATAACTTTTCGTGTTTGTGTGGTGATTTGCATGCTAGACAAATATTCCACCATTGAGTTACATTCCAGGCCCAGAACAACTTTATTCTTCAGCAAAGTCACAATGTGCACTTAGACTTTGAAGACATAACTCTGTGCTAGCAAGCACGGTACCACTGAGCTGCACTCCAACCTAAGTTTGGATTTGTTATTGTTGTTTTCTTTTCTTCAAGATGGATTTTTAAAATACTGAATTTCCACTGTGTTACTCTATGCTTGAAATGGAAGTGGAAGCTATAAAACTTATGGTCCATGTGTTTTATTTTCTTTCAAAATAAGTTTGCATTCTTTGAGTGGATTAGCAGAATAATGGGTAGAAAACATTTAACAGGTAAGGATAATAAAATAGACTAAGGCTAAAAGTTAGAAAAGAAATACTCTTCTGTGAACAGTTCTAAAATAACTTATTCTGATGTTAAGCCTGATTGATTAAAGTAAATCATGCTTAGTTTTGTTTTGCTGCATTTTGAGTACTTTCTCAAGTAGACCTTTTAACTGTCATCCTCTCTGAATATTTCTGACACTTAGAACTGGGAATCCCTGCTTCGGTGGATCTTGTGAGCAGTGACCCGAGCCATATGGTAGCATCATTCAGCAAAGGGTATACAAGCATCTTTAACATGGAGACACAGCAGCGAATCCTCACTTTAGAATCCAAGATAGACTCAAGTATGTATACCAATCTTTAAAAGTCTCTCTATTTGTTCTTAATCAAAAGTGTAACTGCCCAAGTCGATGTGAAGAATGATTAAATCATAGTGTTCTATTGCCCAAACCTAAAGACACTTTTACTTTATAGAAAACTTTTTTGGGGGGGAAGGGGTAAACTTCAGCACAGTCTAAAGCAATCAAAACAAACAACAGAAAAACTGCACCCAAAGAATTTATTCCATGTGGCCACCTGGCATTTTCTGTTGTATATTGAAATAACTATAAATTACTATAGTAATTAATATCTTCAAAAATTCTTAGATAGTGTACAACAATTAATTAGTATGCTTAAAAACTCAAAATCTGGTGGGTTGCAAGATGATGGTCTTTTCTATTATGATGCAAAGAGGAACAAGTAAGGAGGCAAAGCCCTTGATTTCATGATATATTTAGATCACAGCTACCTGAACAGAGCTGCATGTTAGAAGGGACTGAGGTTTAACTTTGAAGATTATTTGTATATTGGTGGTGTTTGGTTTTGTTTTGGGAAAGGATCTCACTGAATCTCTGGCTGGCCTGAAACTCACAATGAAGATGAGGCAGGCTGCTCTCGAACTCATAGAGATCCACCTGCCTCTGCCTCCCAAGTGCTGGTACTAAAGGTGTGCACCACCAATGCCCTGCTGATAGAATTCTTTAAGGTAGCAAACATCACAAAACGTGTAGACTTGGATGTCATCCGTGTCTCTAGGCCAAGTCTTAGATGGAATTCATGCATAGCAGGTGGTGGAAAGGAACTCTGACATTTAATTACCTATAAATATGCCAGTGTGATGTACCTTAGGCAGCTCTTATTTTACAGCACTGAGGTTGGAGAAATAATTGGAGAATAACTGCACCACAGCCAGACTAGGGTTTCATTGGTTTTTTTTTTTCTGTTTTAGTATTTATATCTCCTTTATATGAAAAAAACTACTTTGACTAATTAGTACTGATTTTTAATTTTCTGTTTTTAGCAGCCAATTCTTCCTGCCAAATAAACAGAGTCATCAGCCATCCCACTCTTCCAATCAGCATCACTGCTCACGAAGACAGGCACATCAAGTTCTATGATAACAATACAGGTAAGAGCTTGCTAAGGTTTTGCATCTGATGAAGCAAAACCAACAACAGCAACAAGAAACTAAAACAGCAATAAACACCTAAGTAAGCTAATTATGGTGTCTAATGGGAGCTTTGTAGTTACAGAGTAGGCACTGAAACACTTTCTTCACTCAGTTTCTGTTCATTTCATTCATATCGGCTAAGACTAATATGGAATGGGTTTTTTTTTATTTTGTTTAATAGTAAGCAGATAGTCTAAAGCCACAAATCTGAGTACTAATAAAAATGATCTGTTGCAATCATAAGGAGTGAGTATTAATAGAAACATGTTGGAAGCAGAGGTTGGTAACTATGTTTTGTTTTAAATTGTTCAGTTATTGAATAGCTGTATTCTGTTGTTCAGTCGTAAATAGCTTGATTCAGTGTTGCATATGAAAATCCTTAGGTCATTTGTTTTGTGTGTTTTTCCATAGGTTAATCTTTTCTGTGTTATACTAAAATTTGAGTCCTGACTGAACTGGGGCATGAGGCTTTCCCGGTTGTCAGTGGAAGTACACAAATAGCAAACTGCAGGGAAGAGCTTTGTATGAGCAGCCATGATTCTTTGGCTATCTGCCGTTTTAATATGGTCACTTGTGGTTGTGTTTAGTTGCTAGCAGTTTCATTTTTAAAATTATTTTCTGTGTATTGTTTCCACCAAAACTGACCATTTTTTTTTTCTTTTGTCCTTTGTCTCTTTGAATTTGAACTGTCTGTCCTCATGAGCCCATAAAGTTTGTCTGTAACTAAAAGGACACAAGAAGACTAGTAATGTCTAACCAATTAGTGAACATGTAAAAGTCACTGAATTTATTGTGGCTTAAAAAACAAATATCTGAAATTTAAGCTGTTTTAATTTTCTATTATTAACGTAACCAGAGGCAAGAGTAGAAGATTGGTTGTTTGAACTGATGGAAAAAGTTGATTCAAGAAGTACATAGACAGGGATGACTGGGGAAACTAAGGTAGCATGAAAGTTGGCATATGGCCAAGCTGAAGAAAACCGTCAATAACAAGTATAACAATCTCTTTTTCCAAAGGCAAACTGATCCACTCGATGGTAGCCCACCTAGAAGCTGTTACAAGTTTAGCAGTTGATCCAAATGGCCTGTACTTGATGTCTGGCAGTAAGTACATTAGCTGTGGATTATTTACTTTCCCTTGTCATCATCATGTTGATAAAATTGTTCCTTTCAATCTCTTTTCTTTTGGAATAGGTCATGACTGTTCGATACGCTTATGGAATTTAGAAAGTAAGACATGTATTCAAGAGTTCACAGCTCATCGGAAAAAATTTGAAGAATCCATCCATGATGTAGCATTCCACCCTTCCAAATGCTATATAGCCAGTGCTGGCGCCGACGCGCTGGCTAAGGTCTTTGTATGATGTGACGCATCAACTTCACCTTCTAGCTCTTTATAAAAAGTCAACTGCACAACAGAGATGCAGAAGACCAGGGCAAGCATCAACTCACCCTGCCCTTTTGTTCTGCTGAAGGAGCACAGAGAACATTTGTTAGAGTGTAGTTTTGCAATTCGTGCACTGTTTTCTAAAGTGAAGGTTTATTCAGGTGGCTGCAAGCTCAGCTGACTCTGGGAGCCTGAAAACTTTGAAATTTCCCCCCAAAGAGGCACTTTTGTTTCTGAAATTGTTCTCATTCGCTAGGCAGGCCTGAGCGAAACAGGTTTAGCATCTCCCTTCCTTCTGAGTAAACAGGGCATGCTGTCTGTGTTGGATAATTAAAAGTTGGATGGCTGGGAATGAGTAGAGCGGGATGTACTCTACCCTGAGATCTGCTGAACATATTAGGTAGTCAGACTGTACTGTATCCGCTCTACGAACCCCATTGTGTATAATGACCAGACAGTGTTCAAATGAGTTTCTAATGTAGCTCTCTGTTCAGCTGTTCCCATAAAGCACGTGGCAAAGCATTTCACCTATTAGGAGGAAAAGATGCAATAATATGTTAAGTATATTATTCAGAAATGCTAACAAATATTTAGTTTGCAAGCAGATTTTTATATTGTATTACAATTTTGAAAGTAAATGTGGTACCACTCTGTCCAGCACCCATTATGAAGAGTAGTTAATGGAGCCTGCTCTACTAAAGATTTTTAACTTATCCAGGCTTGAGATTGTTTATTTTTAAGGGCAAACAGGGACTATCTCTATAATAATTTGTTTAAAAATTCACCTCATTTGTGTGGTATTTATAGTGCTAGAGTGATTATTTCCTGTTGATGAAATGTTCCTAGTGACAGAAAAAGGAGAAAGCTATTTGTCAACACTCATTTCTCAACACCCATGTGATTGGTTCAGATAATCTTCACTGTTCCTTCTCTGCCTTTCATGTTCATGTTGTCTGACGCCTACCATAAACAGTTTATAATTATTATGTTATGAAGTCCAAAGCGTGTGGTCACCTCAGGCAGTTGCTTTGGCAGCAGCCATGCTTAATAAAGCAGTGCACCCTGGAAATATGCTACTAGTGTGTCATAGAGATCCAGATGGAAGATGTTAATGCCTGTGATGTCTGCGAGGTTCTTTCTCCTCCCCTTCCCGTTATTTAATTGGAACACACATGTTAATGAACAGTGAACCAGTACTGTACCTAGAGAAACCCATATGTGGTCAGCTTTCGGGAGTCTCAGAATCCTGCTGACTAACCCTGTGCTCACTGTGCAGACCTCTTTCCTCTAACTGCTGGCACTCTTCATGCCCTTCACACACCTTCTCTGCCAAATGACAGACCAGTCTAAATATTAAACATAAATTAATGTTCATCTTTCTACCAACATGTGTACACGAAATATTATAAATATTATAACCCATTATAATGGTTCTGTTGCCATAACCATGGCATTTCTGGTGATCTGTTCTTTGAAGTAGCATTTTCATGGGTAATGATTGACTTCTTAAAAATTTCTTCTCATCTTCCTTTAGAATTCTCCATTGTGCAGGCAAATTTTCATGAACATTATAAGACCCATACTAAATTTCCCTGGTTGTTCTATAGACATGCTATATAATTTTAGTAACTACATTTTATCTTTGTGCTTTGGTTAACAAGCAGACCTAAGAGATTGATTGGTATACACAAGTGAATTGAGTTAAATGCTTGTTTTTATGCAGATCCAGAATTTTACACAGTGATGGGTAAATTTTTTCATCCTTCATAAAATGAGCAAAAGGGTTTTCTAACCCAACATTTACAGAATATTAGAAGATTCCAGGAAGTAGTGTATTTATGACCACAGTTACTTTCCAGAGCCTTCAATGTATGTTTTATTCCTGTCACCAACATTCTGGAAAACAGGAGAGGCTGTCCTATTTGTTCTCTGTCTCTTGATTGGATGGGAAATAATCCTAAGATAGGCAAAGTGTAATACAAATGATAGAACTGTTGGAAGTTTTTAGGGAGTGTGCTTTGTGCCATTGAAAACTGTAAATAGAAAGATTCTTCTAAACTAGCCCTGTTAGCTCTCAGCCTGGACATGAGCCAAAGCTGTCTTCCAACCAGATGGTAGTAGTATGGACATTTGTCTGACTTTCCCCATCCTAATGAAAATTCATAAAATGAACAATTTCAAGATTCAGAATCATTGAAATGCTTTCATAAATATTTACTGGATTGTAAATATTCTGGGTGAACTGTTTTGGAATAGTATGAAAATCAGCAGGTGGGTTAGGTCCCTGCCTTATTTTCATGAGCTGTGGATACATCTCTGGGAGCTAACAGTACCCGTCTCAAAGCGCAGCTGTCACATGGAGCTCATTTGCTATTCAAACCATAGACAAATAAGTGATATAATGACCTTCAGTATTTTTCTATTGAACAAATTTATCAATTTTTGCCATTAAACAGATAATTAGTTATGCAAAGTATTTAGCTTTTGTAATCATTTAGTTGTAACTAAAAGGGGAAAATTGAACTGTATCACTGATAATGAATTTTGTGAGAAATTATTTGTTTATCTGACTTCCATTCCTTCAGTATTGCTATAAATTTCTTTTGGAGATAATGATTCTTTATTTGAAAGATGTCTAAAAATGTATGTATATTTTATAAATATATATTATATATATTATAGGGATATATATAATATATAGACTATATATATATATCTAAACCATGGGTGCATTTTACTGTTGTGTTCTCATTTTTGGAGGTAGTATACTCAGAAGTTGATGAGTATGACGAGTGTTGTGCTGTTTGCTTTTGCAGTATAATATATAGCTCTAAGTGTTTAAATTACTGTATATACTATATTCATTATAGGCTAGCATGCTTGTTTTAAAGACTGTCATTCTAGTTTATTAAAATCTGAATGTAAGAAAACCTGGCTATTCAAATGTGAATTGAAAAGATTCCTGCTGAACTATTTCCATTGAACATTCAAGCTCTTTGACAAAATGTGTCATCAAGAAGGCAATAGCTAGAAAGTGAGAGGTGCCTTTAAAAAAAAAAAAAAAAAAAAAACCTACAAACGCAGCCTTACAGCGAGGGTGAAGATTGACTCTGTGTCAGGGGTGGGAGGGGGAAGAGAGAGCACGAGCGTGTGTGTGTGTGTGTGTGTGTGTGTGAGAGAGAGAGAGAGAGAGAAAATCCTGATTTGTGACAGTCACTGTCTTTTAATGTATCTGCTCGGCTTGTAGGACTCCAGGGGACATTTTATGCATAGTCTTCGTGCTCTTTGGAGCACCTTATATGCTTTCCGAGAGTTTCAAATGTGAATTCCTAGAAAATTCAGTAAAGAATAAATGGCTGTTTTTTTTTTTTTTAAATTAAAATAAACTTCAGAAAACTAAATATTGGTTCCCCAGAACTATGGGTTTCTCGTTGATGATGTACTTTTTTTTTTTTTTAAAAGCTTGCTATTTTTAGTACTTCATATATTTCCCCTGTTCACAAGAGTATGTCATGAAATTCTTATATGATGAGGTTTGAACCAGTAAAAATCATTTTCAGATGAAACACTTGAACTAATTAAAATTCCACCTAAGAACAGTCTTGGAAAATTGAAATTGCCTCTCTCATATCTACCTCATTGTCATTGCTGCCATTTTAGCTAGAACAGATCTCTATGACATCAGAAATGAGTGTCGATGCAATTTAAAAGTCTGTGTGTGTTGGTGCTCCTCTCAGGCTTTGTTATCTCCTGTGTCCTCACAAAGCGGACAGAAACATTTAGGGTTAATTTTAGGTTTTTTTTTTTTTTTTTTTTTACTTTTTACTTTTTGTTAGTTTTGTTTTCTTCAAGGATGGCTTAAACCACCACCCATGTTTTTAGTGAGTAGGGAGTTTTAGTTATGTGTAATATTTTTAACCAAGAATGAAATTGTTACTGAATTTACCTGAAACTCCAGGCATAGTGGCACAATCTTGTTTGTAATCATGAGAGGTGGAGGCAAGACGATCACAAGTTCAAGTTTATCCCCAGCTATATAGGGAGTTCAAGGCCAGCCTGGGCTACGTGAACCCTTGTCTCAAAGCAACAACACAAAGTTTACCTGGGGAAAAAAAAAACAAAACTGTGATTTTATTTGGCTTACTTTATTCTTTACTTCCACACTTAGGTATATAATTACTCACTTCACTGGCTTAGAAGTTGCCTCCATGACCGTGTTACTTGTTTGTTTATCCTGCAGTACTCAAAGAGTGTTTTGACACTGGGATTCTCGTTGTACAAAAGTAGTATCTGTGTGTGTGTGTGTGTGTGTGTGTGTGTGTGTGTGTGTTTTGTATTGTATCATTTCCTAAAGTCCATTTTAGTAGAAGGTCAGAAGAGGAATAAGTCTCTGTTTAGCAGGTAAACAATTAGAATCAGTTTTACATTTGCCACTAAAAGCTTTGTAACTGCTCATATCAAGCATGCAGCTAGGTCTCCATGTCAGTGGAAGGGACTCCACATTGACCAAGTATTTAACAGAACCTTTACATCGGTTTTGTTGTTAGGTATTTAACTTTGAGGAGTTTTATGCTAGATTAAGAGATCTTTAGATCCCACTACTTATTCTAGCAACACTTCTGAAGTGGTTCTGAGGGTTCTTTCTGGATCTTGGCTAGTCAAGCTTTAGATTTCATTTAACTGGGACCACATGCTCATCACCCCTCTGGTGCAAATTAGAAAGTTCATGTTAATTTAAATTAACTTCAATGTCTGCCTGGGTTTTTACCAGGCTGTGAACCAGTGAGTGCCTTGTTAATGTAGAATGATTTTCCCCATTGTATGTTAGCTGTTTCTGAAAGGGTCTCAGAGACTGGGGTTTGAAGTGACTTTTGCAAAGCTGCTGAGTTGACAGTACAGCATTAGGAAGTCTTTGGTCTGCCATGTTCCTTCCGCTTTTCCTGCTTTCTCTTCATTGACTGATGTTGGCCTCTTGTGAGAAAACTAACATAGTCCCCTTCACACACTCTGTTTTTCATTCCAGATTCAGGAGTATCCCCTGTCCCGCCTTAGCTATATGATCCAATGCCTGTTTTTAGGGAGAACCACTTCTTTGTAATACTAAAAATCTTACCACTTATTTTATGTCTTCTCATCAGTTTACTGGAGTGAACCTCAGGGTATCATCAGTTCAGAATTCCAAATAACCCTTTCTCTCCACACCCAAACCCCCAGCTGGTGATCCCTGGGCCAGATTGTTTGATATTCAGGTGTCTTCAATTTTAGTTATAATATCAATTAATGTAAATCCAAATGCTAATTTTTGTGGTGCAAGAAGTTCCTTTTGTAAATTCAGGGTATGGATAAGCTAATAATGATATCCAGTTTTGGTGGCTTTGAGTGTATTGTTTGTTTTTAAATAAAATGTACAAAATAGTTAATGTGCTTATAGGTGTGTCGTGAATTGGACTGCTTGTCAACTCTGGGAATCAGTTCAAACGCTTTACTATCTGAAGCTTTTGTTAGGGGCTGATAGAAGGGTGCAGAGAAATTGAAGAGTATTAGACACAGTAGATATGAGTATAGAGTAACAGCATTCTCAGCTACAGATGACGAGAAAGGTGGAAAAGCTGATTATGAAGGCTTTGGACCCGAGGAAAACCAGCAAAATTCAGATGCCTCGTGAGATCAGTTCAGTTTTGCTTTCAGGGATGCGTGGCGTGTATACCCACCTAGTATTTCATATTTGCAAGTGTTCAAATAATTGTTTTAAATTGTAAATATGTATAAACATAACGTTCGCTCTTTTGTTGGGTTACTTACCAACTAGAACTCTTCTACATCCTGGGACCTACAAGTCACCATTCGTTTTCAAGGATTTGCTTGCCTGGGACATATGATGTCACTCTACAATACAATATGGAATCTAAAAAAGAGACCTCTTCGGCACCCCTCATTCTGCCCATTCTTCTTTGTTATATGTTGGCATGATAATGAGGAATGTAATTTCCAGTATTGTCAGAAATTCCCATTTGCCTTTTTATATAGGAGCTGACACATGATTTGCTAGAGTCATTGTGGAATAACCTACCTTGAAAGGTCAAGAGAACTCAAAATTACTGGTGAATTGCTGGATTCTCTGGGGTCAACCTAGGGTCAGAGTAATAGTATGACCTGCACTGGATTTCCCAAGACCACTGAGGTTTTCCCAGCTCTGTCCTAGACTTAAGGTATTCTCAGAAGCACCTGGGAGTCTGGGTTTCCTTTTAATGCTAATGCCATAACCATGGAAATCTCTCTGCTTGTGAGCTCAGTTCCCATGTGCTAGGACACGCAGTTTGGGAAAGCAGCCTCCTTGAGGATCTGAATAATGGGAACCCTTGGTTTTTAGGGGTAGTGGTTTTTCAGTGCTGGTCACCAAACACAAGTCAGAGTCTCGTGTCCTAGTCCAGCACTGTCCCTGAACTGTGTCATTAAGACTTCAGAGCCTTAACACAATTCCACCAAAAGGGAACAACTTAGTGGAGGCCCACAAAGTGCTAAGCTTTCCCCTGTCTTGCATAAATTCTGGATTAAAGGGCATGGTAGCGGTAGTTGAGCTTGAATAATAATCTGGTGATTTTAGTGAGAAAGTCTGCATGTGTCCTCACAGGAAGTTCTCCTTACCTTAGTTGGTTTCAGCCACTTGGCTTGCTTAGAGAATGGTCCAGATGCTAACTCCACATTGACTTATTCTATACAGAAAGCTAATTTAGCCCAGTGATCTAAAGAGCCAACAGCAAGACATCTCCTAATTGCTAGAACTAAATGTTAAGCCATGTGCCAAAGCTTTTATGTTCCAGGTTCCCAATCACACCAAAAACAAAACAAAACAAAAAAACCCCAGATATTTACATAACAAAAGCCCCAACATCCCCAAGTGAGAAAGTTTGCTTTTATTAAAGAAGACAAAGTTCACAGAAAGCAAAACATCTTTGTCCCTCCGGAGTTAGTGTCCCTCCATGCAGTGTGCTGGAGTGTTATCATGTACTGACTCCTACCTCTGTCCTGTGTGACCAAGCAGGTATGTTTGCACATATAAACCAAGTTGATTTAGAGCTAAAGCAATTTCAGCAGCAGTTCGTTTGCTGAGTGACTTGGATGACGATAAGAAAGAAAGGAAGGAAGAAAGAAAGAAAGAAAGGAAGGAAGGAAGGAAGGAAGGAAGGAAGGAAGGGAAAGGAAAGAAAGAAAGAAAGAAAGTCCTGTCTCCCAGGCAGTATGCCTGCTACTCTTTCCTAAAGGGCGGAAAGACATCTCTTTCAATTAAAAAAAACAAAACAAAAACAAAGGCTCCAATTTTGCTTCACATTGGTTCTATTTTATTACAGATTTAAAAAGAATAACACCAAGTGTTCTAGAACCTGGTTAGTAAAATAGCAGCTAGGAGATTTCAGTACATTGTAGGGAGCCATGTTAATGTATTTGTCTTGTGTCATTTGCATATATCAGAATGAAGACCTAAGTAATGTTAACTGAGTAATAATTTCATGAAGGAAAATCATTTTAAAAGAATGAGTACTGTTTTGAATGGTTTTAGCTGCCTTTAAAAACTTTTAAAAAGATATCTTTCTCCATATATTTCAGAGAATCCTATTGATAAAATGATTTCAGTGCACATTTTAGAAAAAGAGAAACCCAGTGGTCCTATGTATCTTTTGACAGTTGTTTGTGAACCACACCCCTACCCCGCCGCCAGGTCCAACTGCTATGTCACAGTGCTATGATAGTGTCTGCTGACTGAGAAGCCCGTGTTTTTGTGCTCAGTTTGTAGGTTACCAGGTACATGTTAAAGTGAGCATGAAGTTTACCCCATGTAGAATATGTGAGAACTCTTAATAGAGGGGTCATCTTACGGAGCTAACAGTGGTAGAGTTAGGCTTTGCCAGTTGCCGTTTACAGACTTTGAAAGTACACAGATCAACTGAAGCAGCATTTAGTTTCAGTCCATTTAAGTGGAAGCTATTCTTTATTGACAGTACCTGCATAGTTCCCTGCTGCATCTCAGAAGGAGCCAGGCTTACTTCTAACTCAGACATGCAGTCTTCCCTTCATTCCTTTCCTCTGGCCCCTTCTTAGATTTTATTTTATGTGTATGAATGTTTAGCCTACAGGTATGCACGTGCACATTGAGCATGCCTTGTGCCTGTGGAGGCTGGAAGATGCCATTAGATTCATAGAATCGGAGTTACCAGCAGTTGTGAGCTGCCATGTGGGTGCTGGGACTTGAACTTGGGTCCTCTGGAAGAGCAGCCAGTGCTCTTAACAATGGAGCCATCGCCCCAGCTCCACCCTCCCTTTTAACTGCATACTACTTGTTCATATTTGTGAAGCACAGTGTGGTGTTTTGACTCATGTATATATCTGGTAGTCACTTTAAGCTTATTTTGGTGACTACTTTTGAAGTCCTCTCTGACGTTAGTACATTATTGTTAATTCACCCTGCAGTTTGGGAGAACACCAGAGTTTATTACTACTCCTGTCAGTCTCTGGTGACAATTATGAGGTCTTCAATGAAGTACTTATCTAATGCATTGGTGATATAGTGGCTGTGTCTGTCTTACATACCACACACGTCTCCTTGGACATGCCCTTCAGCCTGCACATGCTGTTCTAGGTGACAGGGTTTCATGATTGAATAGAATCCTGTTGTACTGGCAAGGATGTGGAGCAAGAACAAATAAAACCCAATGTTATTGGTGGGATTGTAAATTAGCACAACCCTTGTTCACTAATGAAAAGAAATCCTAAATTCCATCGTTTCTAGTACTGGACAGATACCCAAAGGCAGTGAAATCAATGCAGTGAAAAGACACCCACACTCCAGTGGTCAGTGTTTTAAACAAAGCCATGAACTCTTGTATTTCTGTAGACTTTTTTGTTTGTTTGGTGGTTTTTTTCAAGACAGGGTTTCTCTGTGGCTTTGGAGGCTGTCCTGGAACCAGCTCTTGTAGACCAGGCTGGTCTCAAACTCACAGAGATCTGTCTGCCTCTGCCTCCCGAGTGCTGGGACTAAAGGCATGCGCCACCACTGCCCAGCACTGTAGACTTCTTGAATACACATCTAATTGCAGGTGTTTTGTTTTAGGTTTCAACATGATTATATGTCCAAGCAATGTTATGCCCTCGAGTATATAGTTTATAAACACCTTGGCCTCTGTTGATAAACACATTAAAATTTTATTTTGTGTGGTTTAAAAATTAGGTTGGGAGTACAAAGATTAACAAGGAACTTTTAGAAAGCATTTGGAACTTGGTGTGGCACCGTGACTATAGTGATGAGGGCATTGTCTTGATTCTCCTCTGTCTAGCTCACATTTTGTATGTTAAGAGCTGCCATTTGGCACCTAACAAAATAAAATAGGGATTTGTTTCTGTCTTCATAAGCTCCTTAGAGCAGGGACCATATTTGTTTTTCCTGTATTCCCCCTAGCACTTTGCTTGATGATGTTCTATCTAGAAAAAATTCAGGTATTTGTTGGCTGAAGCAGCAGGGTACCTATTTCAAAATTCCAAATCTGTATAGATCATCAAAAGCAAGGGGCCTGGAGAGAAGGCCCAGCAGTTGAGAACACTTATCACTCTTGCAAAGCCCCTCGTGCGGTACGTATCGCCCACGTATACCCACTCAAAACTGCCTGTCCAGCTCAAGAACAATCCTTTGGCCACATAAAGGCCCACACATGTAATTTCAAAACAAGGGTGGGGGCTCGGGAAAGGGGACTGGGGAAACGACTAACCCTGTAAAGAGTGCTTGCCTTACAAGCGGGGAGACCTGAGTTTCATCCCCCAAACCCACATATAAAACACCAGGATGTGGTTCTAGGGAGGCAGACAAGTTGATTCTTTGGGCTTGCTGGGAGCATTCTACAATAATTTGGCAGGCTCTAGCACAGGGAGAAACTCTGTTCGAAAGAGCAAAGGGGATCGCTCCCAAGAAACAGCGGCTGAGGTAGGCATCTACGTGTATGGACATGTGAGCACACCCTGCCAGTCATCTGATAATGCTCAAATGCATTTAGGTATGTGGGTGCGGCCCTAAGATTGAGCTCTGTGCCCTGATTTGGGAGGAATTTGGATTTCACCTCCTGAGTAGCAACAGACAACTCAAGGGGGGCTCCTTCTACACCTTATACTCATCATCCTGCCCATCTGGGGCTGTGCCATTCCTGTGGGAGAAGAGGTGCCTAGCCCTGTCAAGGGTGACCCTTCTTTCTGCACTCCCCTGTGGTTGTGTGCCTGCTGTGTGCCGTTCTAGTAGCCCTAGAGGGAGCAGGCAAAAACCTTTACCTGACACACCATGCATTCTAACCAGATTATTAGAGGTAAGTGCTGGAGGAGTCGCAAGAAAGAGGTGAATTTAATGTATCTCTCACTAAATGACACAAATGAAAGACTAATA